GGCTCACAATTCACCATGTCAATTAATCTTGAACAGTTAGAATCTTTACTGGAACGTCAAGGTAAACGATATGAACAGTTCCAGGAACGTATGTTGGAGCTGTTAATGAAACAAATGAATTTGAATCACAGAGGTTTTGCCGATGATTCATATAATCCGCATACAGACTCGATAGTTAATTCCATTCATGAATTTCATTTTGATGGCCTTGCTGGTGTGACTTTCGAGTCTTGGTTTAAGAAGTATGAGGATTTGTTCAAGGTCGACCTCAACAATCTTGATGACGCCACCAAAGTCAGAATCCTTTTGAGAAAGCTCGGCACAATCGAACACGAACGTTACAGTAATTTCATCCTCCCAAAGAACCCACGAGATTTCTCTTTTGATGCTACAATTGATACGCTGTCGCAAATCTTCTCTGAACAGTCATCTCTCTTTAATATTCGTTATCAATGCCTCAAAATAATCAAGTCAAATGAAGATGACTGGGTAAAGCATGCTGGCTTAGTAAATCGTGAATGTGAACGATTTAAATTATCATCAATGACGGAAGATCAGTTTAAGTGCCTTGTGTTTGTGTGCAGCTTACAATCTCCCGACGATGCTGATATAAGAACCAGAATCCTAAGTAAAATTGAACAGTGCCCAAACATCTCGCTTCAAGAAATAACTGCAGAGTGCCAGAGATTAGTAAACTTGAAGCATGATACCTCCATGGTCGAAAACAATGACCTCTCATCATACGTGCATTCCATTAGTGAAAAGAAAAATTCCGTCTCACAAAAGCATCACAAGAGCACAGACAACCAGCCCTCATCTCCATGCTGGTCATGTGGAGGTTGGCACTACAAGAAGTTTTGCCCATACAAAGATTATGTTTACTCTAAATGTCACAAAAAGGGTCACAAAGAATCTCGATGTAGGACAAAAACTCGCAGACATTACTCCGCGAAATTTGATTCCAAGAAATACAGTTCTGGTAAGTCAATAAACAAAGTATTGGTGTCTCATAATCAGACAAGAATTCACCAAAGAAGAAAGTATGTGACTTTGGATATGAATTCACACCGTATCCGTCTTCAACTTGACACAGCATCTGACATCACCCTTATCAGTCCAAAAACTTGGGAGAAAATTGGAAGACCTACAGTTCACCCTACGAAGCAACTAGCACACAGCGCATTTGGTGGCAAGTTAAATATTGTTGGAGAATTACTGTGCACTGTTTCAAAATATGGGACAACAGCAAGTGCAACTGTATACCTAACTAAAAACCCAGACCTTGATGTATTGGGGTTGGATCTCATAGATGCATTAAAATTAACAGACCATTCTATCAACAATATCTGCTGCCGAGTTAGAATCAATAACCCTTTAGAGTCAAATCCAGGAAATGCCATTATAGAAAGGCATCATCACGTATGTCCAGAAGCGTTGGGCGAATGTACAAACGCCGCGAAAAACCCTTCGAAATGCGAGCCTCAACAATGGCAGAAACCTACGGGACCTTGGGAAAGAATTCATGCAGATTTCGCTGGCCCAATCCAAGGTAAAATGTTCCTAATTATTGTAGATGCGTATACAAAATGGCCAGAAATATACAGCATGCCGAATTGTACAGCCTCAGAAACTATTCAGAAGCTGTCCACCTTATTTAGTTGTTTCGGAGTGCCAGAAACCTTGGTAACTGATAATGGATCACAATTTGATGCCGACTCATTCACGCGATTCTGCAGTTCAAACGGCATAACGCATCTACGGTCCCCACCTTACCACCCCCAATCGAATGGACAAGCTGAACGCTTCGTGGACACTTTCAAAAGAGCTTTACTGAAAGGGGGAGATGAGGGACCAACTAGCCAAGTAATCACGAGGTTTTTAACGGCTTACAGAAGCACTCCGAACCCTATGGTCCCAGAGGGGAAGTCTCCAGCCGAAGCGATGTTTGGAAGACGTATTCGGACTATTTTTAACGCGATGTTGCCCCCTAAAAGAGCGAATAGATATAGGCCAAATCAAAATATTCGCAGCTACAACGTGGGCGATAAAGTGTTCCTAAAAACATATCGTGGTAAAAATCAATGGGAACCAGGAACAGTCGTCCAAAGACTAGGAAGAGTTTTGTATCGAATCATAGGAGCTTTCGGAAGCTGTGTTAGACACACGAACCAAATGCGAAGGGATCAAAGAATGGCACGCTCGGGTGATAATCGCGTGAATCTACCCCTAGAGTTGATCACAGAACCGACAACTGCACATTTGCCCCGGAATGCCGAAGAAAAGGGAAGGTTGGAGACATTAACTCGAAACCCCATAACCAGAATGGAACGCCGCCGCAAACCAGTCGTAAGACTACAAGTGGACCCAAGAAAAAAATCTTATTCCGGGGAGGTGTTGGGATAGTCAATCGAGAATAAAGCCACGCATATTGTGGATTAATGAACTATTTGATTTTTGTTCATAATAAACCATTTCATTAATGATGAACTATGTTCATGATAAACTATTTCATTAATGATGAATTATATGATTAATGTTCATGATAAACTATTTCATTTATGATGAACTATATGATTATCGTTCCTGACGAACTAATTGAAGCATGTTCAAATAATTAACGACTTTTATATAATTGTATAAATACGCATGTTTGATTGTATATTTTTTGATTCTGACAAGAAGTGTTCTACAACGTCTTCCGTCTTCTTTCTTTGAGCGGAGGGGTCTAACGTTCGGGTGTCATTAGTACGGTGGTTGACGTTACATCAAGTACAAAACATAAAACATATGTAATGAAATTTAAGTGAAACCAGATTTCTTATCACCTACTTACAACCACCATCTGTCTCTACGATGAGTATTTCTGTCTCAGATTCAATAATTCACCCTCAAATCACACTATTCATCATCTTTTTTCATATTGAAATCAAGAAAACAAAAGAAGTCGTCAATATCTCCAACAAAATATATCAGTCAGTCAGTCAGATGCAACGTAGAACTTCATACGTAAGTACATCAGTTCATGTTGACATACCACATTATTAGCGCAGAGATGTAATTGTCAATTCAAATCCAATAGTAGTAGAAGAGGTAGTAAAGGTATTAGAAGTAATCGAAGAGGTTAGGATTAGAAGATATGATTCAAGAAGTATGATTCAGTGAGAAAAGGTCAGAAAGTCAAAAGTAGAGGTGATGAAGAATCCAGAAGATTAGGATTTGAGAGAACACAAAGAATAAATGCACCGGCGCCATTGCGAACGGTTTTGAGCCATGTCATTCAAGGTCTCTAACCATCGATTATTATCATCTCACGGACCCCAACCAGGTAGTCGACAATTACCGACATGGCTAAGTCCACTCGTCAATGACTTCATGGACTTCTGCCATGTTTTGGTTTGGCCGCCCCTAACTTTCTTCCAACTTATTCCTACACTACAAAACAAAGCTCGTTGAGGCAGTCGGTGGTTAGCCATACGTAACACATGTCCCAACCACCTCAACTGATGAAGTGTCACTACTGCGTCTATTAATCTGCCATTCTTACCTAGCACCCGATTCCTAATAACAGCGTTGCTCACTCGGGTGTCTCAGGATATACGAGCAATGCTTCGAAGACACCTATGATCGAAAACCAGTAACCTACGAATATCTTCTACTCTCACTGGCCATGTTTCACAGCCATAAAGTAAAACGGAGCGAACCACTGCACCGTACGCTCGTCATTTAGTCAGCAAACGGATATCTCGCCTACGTCATAAGTGACGCAGGTTAGCAAAAGCCAATCGAGCCTTCTGTATCCGAGCTGAGATTTCATCAGTCACTAGGCCATCGGCACTGATGAGACTCCCAAGATAAGTGAAGCGGTCTGTCTACACGTTCAACTACTTCACTCCCTATCACTAGTTCAGGTACCGATGAAACCTAATCTTGAAGCAACATTTTTTCATTTACAAGGGGGAAAATCAACAAAATATATATCAGATAAAAAGATATTTTTATTTGCACAAACTGTATCAATGAAAATAAAATTCACAATAATAATAGTAATGACATTAGCGACAATATAATATATATATGTATATATTAGTTGGAAGTTCAAACAATGGACTCTGATGATAATGATAATAATAATAATAATGGCGTTGATTGTTGTATCACAGCCTCAAAACTGTTTTTTTTTAAAAAGAGAATAGATCACTGTATATCAAGTGTACATATCATAAATGCTTCAATACACACAAGAACAAGTTCCTACACACACACACACACAACGGCAGTGATTGACAATCATTTCACAAACCAGTGTAACATTGTAATTATTGACAAGAATGACATGCATTTTATTTATGACTATTATGACTATTATGATTATTATCATTATTAAAAAAGCCTGATGAAAATCATGAAATACACAAGTAGTAAACTGTTTGCTATACAATAATAACTCAAAAAATAACCGCTTGTTTGTTTAAAATAACCATGAGAAATAAAATCAAAGTCAATGATCAATAATAAACAAGCATACAACATTGACACAAATTGATTCAAACTGTGTAAAAAAATGGCGCTATAGTCGGTTTGTTTGTTCGAGGTGAAAATCAAAATTCATCACCCATGCAAAGTGAACACATTCAGACACACACACACAGAGATACATACACAGGGTAGATGAGAGAAGAATGCAAATGCAGATAGAGATTTCTTTCTAATAAGCAAATTACTCGAATTGACAGAAATAATCAAGTTGTCAAAAATATAAAGAAAATGACAAAAAAATACAATGAGTTATTTATTACATAACATTTATCTCTATCTATAAGTGACTGATTGATCGATTGATTTGTACAAATAATAGACACACACTTATTTATCTCATCTGTGTTTATTGATTTTACAGTGTTGAAACTATTGACGTAAAGCTGTTTGTCGTCGTGTTATTGAACATGGTTAGTAAACAGCTGATCTGCATTAAACAATACAAGTTGAGTTTAGTCTAAAATCTATGATTTTTTAAAACTTGATTTTAATATTCTCATTAAACGTGAACGTAATTTTGTTCGTCTAGTTTGTGATGTAGTAGTAGTAGTGGTAGTACCACTTGAATTACTACTATCTTCCACATTGTGACGATGAGAGTTGACACTTGTTAAAGAAAGAGACGATGCTGAAGATGTCGGTGAACGTTTGGTCGTCGTTGTTGCGGTTGTTGTGCTGGTGGTTGTCGTTGTTAATGGTAGTAACGGTGAATTCTCAGTGAATTGATCATCACCATCATCATCAACATCACCACCGCGATCATTTTCATAGTCTTCTTGTTTTTCATGACATGGTAAAGTTGACGAGTTTCTATGATAATCATTTAATTTTCGATTTTGATCAAATTCATCCCAATGAGATGTCAGGATAGCACTGTGATTACTACTACTAGTAGTAGTAGTACTATGATGACCTAGGGATAATGTTGGTGGTTTAGGTGAACTTGTCATTATTGGTGATGTGATTGTTACAACAGTTGATGGTTGTTGACTTGAACAAACAATAACACTAGATGAAGAGGATGAAGAGGATGACGATGTCGATTTATAACGTTTTCGTGTATTAAAACGACTTGATGATCGTTTTATAATTGGACCACAACTGAATGCATTACGTGGTATACAGGATAATTTCTTGTGTTTCATTGTTTGTGATGAAATAGATTGCTGTAAAAATATAAAAAAAATTCGAGTTAGTTTATTGGATAAATGAATATTCAACAAATATGAAGTGAATTCATTTTATAACTTCTACAGAGGCAGCATTACTCTTCAACATGGTATTGTTGAACAAAATGAAAGATTTCGTAGATGCCCAACTTCCAGATCAACAGGCTTGATTTCATAAGGATCGGTCGTGTACTGACCAAATCAACTGCAACATTACGGATCATTGTGGAACAATCACCACTCTACATCAACTTCATCGACTACCAGAAAGCATTCGATAGTGTGGATAGGAAAACACTGTGGAGGCTTCTTAGAAACTACGGTGTGCCTGAGAATATAGGTAACATCATACGGAATTCTTATGATGGATTCAACTGTAAAATCGTACACGAAGGACAGCTAACTGACTCTTTCGAGGTGAAGACCGGTGTCAGGCAAGGTTGTTTACTCTCACCATTTCTCTTTCTCCTGGTGATCAACTATATTATGAAGACGTCAACATCTGGAGGGAAGCACGGTATCAACTGGACAGTTAGGACACAGCTGGACGATTTGGACTTCGCAGATGACCTAGCTCTTCTATCGCACACTCAACAACAAATACAAGAGAAGACGACCAGTGTAGCATCAGCCTCTGCAGTAGTAGGTCTCAACATACATAATGGAAAAAGCGAAATTCTCCGATGAAACACAACATGCGCCAACCAAATCACTCTTTATGGAGATGCCTTGGAGGACGTTAACACCTTTACATATCTGGGCAGCATCATCGACAATCAAAATTAGATTTTATTCAAAAGACTAATAATTATTTGACCTGGATGTCAAAGGACTAGAGAATGACGGATTAAGAAAGCTAGTTGCTTCAGTTTCGCCTTCCAGATAACAATGCAGCTGACTCATTAGTGGCGCATGAATATATGTGTGTCTCATTGTACCCAATGTTTATAAGCTTAATAACTGTAATAATAATAATAGTGGATAGAACAGTCAATTAGGTGTTCTTTCGACAGGTTCATTTCAAATCCTATGAGTCTTTAAACTACCTCTGAAGTGGGTACAGAGGTACAAATTCCAAACGGAATAAGGAACTTAGTACTTGTTTACTTATTTACTTACGCCTGTTACCCCCAATGGAGCATAGGCCGCCCACCAGTTTTCTCCAACCAAATCTATCCTGGGTTTCCCTTTCTGATTCTGACCAATTTTTGTTCATTCTTCTCATATCTGTCTCCGATACTCGGTGTAATGTGCTCCTTGGCCCTCCTCTTTTCCTCTGATCGTGAGGGTTCCATGTGAGTGCTTGTCTAGTGACGTGGTTGGGCGCTCTCCGCAAAATGTGTCCTATCCACTTCCACCACTTCTTCCTGATTTCCTCCTCCACTGGAATCTGGTTTGTTCTCTCCCACAGTAAGTTGTTGCTGATAGTGTCTGGCTAACGAATCCGAAGTATTTTGCCTAGACAACTGTTAACAAACACTTGTATCTTCTGGATGATGCCTTTCGTAGTTCTCCAAGTTTCCGCTCCATACAATAGAACTGTCTTGACATTTGTATTGAAAATCCTGATTTTGGTGTTGATTAATATTGTTTGCAGTTCGAGATATTTTTCAATTGTAAAAATGCAGACCTTGTTTTGCCGATCCGCTTGAGCCCCGGCTACTGCCAGTCCCAAGCCCGGATAAAGGAGGAGGATTGAGCGTGGGGGTTGGCGAACTCATCCCACAAAAAAAACTAACTCCCTAAAAAAAACCCTAATCAGAAAATATAATTCAACTTATGAGTGAGTAGTTCCAGTTATAATTTCAATGAAAATTAACATCATCATCATCTTACCATCATTTTCGTTGGAACAAACATTCCATTAATGATGAAGAAATCAGGATCACTAATTCTTGATGTCATTGATGATGCGACTGACTTTGATTTTGATTTTAATATCGATTTATTACTGATTGAGTGAATGGTTGAAGAACGGCTACTTTTAACCTAAAGGAAAAAAATCGATATATAGAGAGATAAAAAAAGTATGTGAACACTTTGCTAAATATATGATTTTTTGAAGTGAAAGGTACTGGGTTCGAGTCGCAGAGTGAGTATCAAATCTGAGTGAGATGTGGTGGCAAGTACAATACATTTAGTCGATGAGCCCTGACTAGGACGAAACGCACGTCATACATCGCATTGTTACTTACTGATCGTGTGTTTTTACGAGATTTGAATTGATAATTTCGCATCTGTGCTAATATGGTATGGCAACTTGAATTGACTTATTGTTCATCTATGCTAATCATGCTCATGACCTAGCAATAATAGCGAGGCAGTCACTTAGCTGCAACATAGAACTTGGTACGTACGTACATCAGTTCGATTGAGATAAACATCTCCGAAGTGTAAATCTCATAATCACTTTAGCAACACATCTGATCTCGCACAACAATGGTTAATGATAACATACAGTTGAGGAGTAACGTTACAAGTTGAAATAAAATTACTAACAACAGAGGAAACGAAAGGACAACTTATTTCTAAGTTGTTGGTTGAAGCTAATCGACAGGATGATACCTTGCAACGCGTCAGTTATATGTGACTGTATTCTTCAGGCAAGTGATGTTTCCTAGCTCATTCGATCTCAAGTCACTTGGATTCATATTCAGAGATGTTGTCACTGAGCTGTTCAGGTCGCGAATGACCTCCTGTAAGACTGAGATGTCTTGACAATGGGGTAGTAAATGAGTGATCAATGTCATGTGTGTTTTTCTCTTCAGTGCTCCTTTAGTACCGACGAAACTGTATTTATCAAGTTGCAATCTAGTCAAAACCTTGTTGGTGAGTGCCAACTAGAGCGAAACTTCGCTCAGACAGTGCTTCGTGTTGACTACCTAAAAACACCACTTTACATCTAAATAAGGCATATGATATCAAGTTACACAGATTAGTGGTCATATTTGTAACTTGATCAGTATAATTCGATTAGAAAGACTTGAAACGTAAGGGGATAGTATAGTCTGTACTACACCCACTGATCAATCAATTGTCAGTTACGAATTTTTGTATTAAGCATCCCATCTTTTCACAAAGTAAACTATCAACAGTGAAAATTAATAAATGAATGAACGTATTCATTGAGAATTTTCAGAATATTTAAGAGAATATTTACGAAAATAACCTAATGAGTTTAGATCCTTGATGGAATTCATGAAGCATTTTTCATCTTATACATATGAGACTCGTCAATTGGATGCAGTACGTGCTACTCTACATTCAAAAGTTGATATTCACTCCGAAACTGTATCAGTTTAAACTAATTTGTATTGTTTTAATTGAAGTATGTCTTACTTATCAATAACAAGTAAATAGTAAAAACTATACACATTGTAAACAGTCGGTCAGTTACAACGTAAAACTTGGTACGTACGTATGTACGTCAGTCAGTTGAAACGTTGAACTTCGTACGTATGTACATCAGTTCATGTTTCCATACCACATTAGCACACAGACGCATATGTCAAATCAAATCCCATAGTGATAAACATAGTAGAGGTATTAATGGTAATGAAGAAGACTAGGGTTCGAAGATATTATTATTCAAGAAGTATAATTCAGTGAGATAAGGGTTAGAAAGACAAAGGTAGAAGTGCTGACGAATCCAGAAGATTAGGATTTGAGAGAGCTCAACGAATGGATGCACTTGCGCCATTGCAAACGATTCTGAGCCATGTCGTTCAAGGTCTCTAACCATTGGTGACTTTCGTCTCGCGGACCCCAACCAGGTGGTAGTCTATATCTACCAACATAACTCAGTCCACTTGTCAGTGACTTCATGGATTTCTGCCATGTTTTGGTTTGGCCGCCCTTAGCTTTCTTCCAACCTACTCCTACACCACAAAACATAGCTCGTCGAGGCAGTCGGTGGTTAGCCATACGTATGTACGTACATCAGTTCAGATTATCATAGCACATTAGGACACAGAGATCGAATTGTCATTTCAAATCCTAAATTAATAGAGGTCGAAGAATTATTAGCAGTAATCCGAGAGATTAGGGTCTCAAGATATTATTCAAGATGTATAATCTAGTGAGATAACTTTCGAAAGAGAATGGGGATAGAGGTGATGAGGAATTCAGAAGGTTATAGAATTTGATAGAACACAAAGAATGAATGCACATGCGCCAACCATCGATTACTATCATCTCACGGATCCCAACCAGGTAGTCAACACATCTACCAATATGATTCAATCTAGTTGTCAGTGACTTCATGGATTTGTGCCATATTTTGCTTTGGCCGACTCTAGATGTGTACCAACCTAATTTCACATTTCACATTGTTAACAATCAACATTTTAAGCCTTTTTAATCGATCTCATCAATCCGTAACAATAAACATTAGAATGTAGTGTGCATCGGATAGAAGAAATGTTTCATTCAAACTAGTAAACAAACTGATTGATTGCATAACGTCGAATAAAATACATCCCCCACCCCCCAAAAAATATATTCGTCACATGCAAAAAACAAACGTGAGATAAATTTCATTTACCAATAAATAATGAACATGTGATGTAAAAGAAATTACTACAGTGTATAGTATAATAAAAATTGATTCATTTCGTCAAGTCTTATTAATATTCATTCCGTCTACTATAATTAAGATGCTTTTTATTAGAAGCCTCCACCTCTTTGGGAAATCATGGATACGATTAGAAGAGTCAACTTGAAATGAATGTCAGTTAGTTAGTCAGTCAGTCAGATGCAACGTAGAACTTTGTACGTATGTAAGTACATCAGTTCATGTTGCCATACCACATTATTAGCACAGAGATATAATTGTCAATTCAAATCCAATAGTAGAAGAGGTAGTAAAAGTATTAGAAGTAATCGGAGAGGTTACGATTAGAAGATATTATTCAGGAAGTATGATTCAGTGAGAAAAGTTTAGAAAGATAAAACTAGAGGGGTTGAACAACCCAGAAGATTAGGATTTGAGAAAGCACAAGGAATGAATGCACCGGCGCCATTGCAAACGGCTTTGAGCCATGTCATTCAGGGTATCTAACCATCGATTATTATCATCTCGCGGACCCCAACCAGGTAGTCGACAACTACCGACATGGATCAGTCCACTCGTCAATAAAAGAATGTAAAGGAATGTAAAAGATGACAAAATCTTACACACAAAAGCTCATTCTACTATTGTGTTAAATGTTTTTCGTTGTTTTCGTTCTCAACAGATATCACACACAATCAGACAATTATCTTTACACATTTGAAATCATCAATCAATCATTGTTAGATCAACATTAGAAACCTGGAAGAAGCACTGAACGGCCGTTTCGTCCTGGCGTGGGACTCATCAGCAGTGCGCGTCCACTACTGGCGCACCTCGCAGAATTCGAACCCGGGACATTTGGTATTGTGCTCGAACGCCTAACCATTGGACCACTGGGCCGGCATCCAACGGTGTTAATGTCTAACTCTGATTGATCTATGGATTTTTGCGCGACCTCACCCATTTGTCTTTGGTAGTTACTACCTACACCGATAGGGTTGAACTCCATTGGTCACGTCTTCTCAACTAGAACTTCGAGAAGTTCCTCACGAAGCTGGTAGTCACTAGTGAACACCTATTACGATATTTTCCGGCAGAGTTTTGGAGATTCATGTTTTTACACATTTGAAATCATCTTTACACTTTAGAGTACTTTTCACTAGCCAATCGCCATAACTTCACCTGATCGTAGCTGCTGCCTTGTTCAAGTGGGTGGTTGCGCTTGCCTATCGTGATGACCTAATCGAGCTACATTGACTAGAACAAATGTTCTTGTCGGTCTTATCAAGCCAAGCAGATCGATTGGAGAATAGTAAGACTAGAAAAAGCAATTCAAGGTGTGAGGGCAAAGTCTTACTGTTGACTGTTGAGGTATGATAGCAGTAATGTGTATCTCTCGGACAACCAGCATCAGCCACAATGCTGCCTTCTCACCTTAACTCACAGATTTCCGTCTTCAGCGGTAAGGCTATTTGAAGAGTGGAGCTAAGACTTCACAAATGCATCATGAAAAAGCCCTTCATGAAAGGTGACAAGCAGTTATTCCTTGGACTCTGCGTTCACGCTTCCAGGTCTCTATTACCTTTTCAGGTTCCTTAACAAACACACTTTCACGGTGTGGACAGCCAGAAAGTGACATTCACCCTCAATACACGTAACTGCCAACGCGACGAAATTAGTCACAATCAAATCTTTTCTACAAGACAAATACAACGCAGAACTTCGTACATAAGTACATCAATTCAGGCTGCCATATCACATCAGCACAGAGACGTAACTGTCAGTTCAAATCCAACAGTGATAGCGATAGTAGTAGAAGTATTAGCAATAATAGAGAAGATCAAGGAGCGAATATATGATTCGCGAAGTATAATTCAGTAAAATAAATTTAGAAGAAGAAAAAGATAGGAGATTATGAGGAATTCCTACTAACTCTCTAACATACTATTTTACAAGAGAGTATATAATTTTAGCAAATAAAATTCACTATAAATACGACTGTACAGCTTAAGGTCATGAAATCAGTGAGACGAGAATTTTCTTTTAAAGTAAACAATCAGAGTTAGACATTAACACCGTTAGACGCCGGCCCAGTGGTCCAATGGTAAGGCGTTCGCCTACAATGCCAAAGGTTCGAATCCTGCGAGGAGCAGGAGTCGTGGATGCGCACTGCTGAGGAGTCCCATACTAGGACGAAACGGCCGTCCAGTGCTTCCAGATTTCTAATGGTGGTCTAAAAATGATGATTGATTAATGATTTCAAATGTGTAAACAAACGAGTAAAAATAATTGGTGTTAACAATACTTACGAAACGTTCATTTGACGTGCGAATAAAATTTAAACGTCGACTACTAGTTGTATGTTTTTCTTGTAAACTACTATCAGTATAAATAGTACGAAGTGATCTGGGATGTGTTCCATCATCATTGGGTTCTGTGATAAGAAAAATACAAAATACGAAAATACAAAAAAAAATTAAAACTCTTGTAATCAATTCACACATATAACTGTGATAGAATTCGCATTTACTACACAGTTTTACATTAAAGTATTATGGAGATGGTAGTTACACTATGAAATCATGAATGAATCATTATTAAATCACCATTAGAGAATTGGAAGCACTGGAAGGTCGTTTGGTCCAAAGCATGGGATTCATCAGCAGTTCGTATCCACGACTCCTGTGTTGGGGATGTCAGATCCCCAAAATTCGCTTGATATATGCCTTATTTTGGATTTCACGTTTGCCAGCATGGACTGATCAGTTCACCTTGAGATTTCAATTCCCAACAGGAAAATCCATGACTGTGTGATTGGCTGCTGTGTATTTTAGTGTGCTATTTTCTTAACTGTCACAAGGACGTTTCTATGATGTATAAATAAACGAGAGTTGTGTGCTTGATTGTATAGTGTGATTGCTGGGTGTTTGTAGAATACACTTTCTACGCTTACAAAGCCTTCTTACTTTATTTGGGGATTCAAGGTAACCTACCTGGACGCTGGTAATTGTCTCGTTCGCGTTTACCGACTACGGTAAACTCGAAATAGCCTCAAGAATACTTAGTGACGAACCCAATATCCTGCTACTCGGACAGGATTCGAATCTTTCGGTATTGCTCGTGAATGTTTAACCTCTTCTGGACCATCGGGCCAGCCGACCGACCTGCATTCAACGGTGTTAATGACTAAAACTCTGATCAATCTAGGCATTTTAAGCAACTTCACCTATTGTCTTCAGTAGTTATTGCCTACACCCTATACAGTTGAACTTCACTGGTCATATCTTCTGATTATAGAACTCCAAGAACCTCATGAAGCTAGTCAATAATGAGCATATTTTTTGATTTTACATCAGAGTATTATAGAGATGGTAATTACACCTTGAAATCATGAATGATTCATTGTTAAACCACCATTAGAAACTTGGACGCACTGGATGACGGCCGTTTCATTCTGAGATTGGACTCATTAAAGGTTAGGCGTTCGCGTGCAAGACCGAAGGTACTAAGGGTTCGAATCTTGTGAGTACCAGGAGGCAATTAGAAATCGAAGATAAGATTAGCGATAATATAAACTAGTCAAAATAGAGATGAAATGACGATGAATTTAAGAAACTTAGAATCTGGCGGGAAGACAAAGAATAGATCCGTCAGTGCCATTATTAACAACAGGTTTGACCCATATCATTCAAAATCTCTAACCACCAGTTACGATAATAACACGAACCGCAACCGAGTAGTCCGAATGGTAATAGTGCCATGTTTTGATTTGACTGCCCCTAGCATTCTTCTAGCCTAACCCTAAATCAAACAACATCGCTGGTTGAGGTAGTCGATGGTTCAGAATATGTAACACATGTCCCAATCATCTCAACTAATAATGCAGATTCACTACTTCATCAATTTATTTGTCATTCTTACCTAGTAACTTTACTGTTAACCAATGGCAATGCTTACTCTGTGGTCCCAGTAGACAGATAGACGTACATTAGTTATACATGTGTTTAATAAGATTCTGTGGACATTTCCAATGCTTTCCTGGTTTCTTTTCGCTCAAACTGCCTTCTAATCTATCCTCACAAAATGAAACTGTCGATAAATGAGTATCATTTGTAACATGAGTAGTATCTCTAAAATGCTTGAGATCGACGAAAATGTAAATCGTGAAAGCGGAAAGCAAATTTTAGTGATGCTTGAGCTAAATTTCCAAACATAATTGCTCTTAAAGCACAAAGTACTTGTGATGATTCAATACGTTGTTAAGATTAGTTTAGTGAAGCACATACTAACTATTACTGTAAACCTCAACTATAAGTTTGTGAACAATAGAATGACAAAGCATTGAATTATAGCTGATTAAAGTCAGTTCGTTATCAAATACCCTGAAAAATCAAACTCAGAACTTAAGTTTGTAGTGTGTGTACATATAATTGTGGTGTGAACTACTTATAAGTAGTATATGACGTGAGCGTCAACGTGGACGCTGCGGGGAGGTGAGGCGAAGGCGGTAAACGACAGCCTGGACGGCGCCGCCGGGAAGACAGCGTGGGAGACGATCACCGGGCGGATGGTAACGGAGTTCGACAGCCCAGTGGACAGGGAGGAGGCGCCGCAGATGCTCCGGTTGTCGAGGCTGTCGGCTGATGGTGACCCGTTGGTGCTGGCTGTGGAGCTCACGATGTTGCTGCGCTCTACGCTGCCTAGTATGGATGGGGATTCGAGGGCACAGTTTTCAGGGTCGCAATTTATCGAGTGTGCCTGCCGCCGTGTTCCAGCAGTGGGAACTAGTAAACGCTACACGTCGGATAGATGCCGTATCTATTCCAGACCAGCGCGCAAGAACAATGACCGAAGTGGTACTCCGGCATATTGTAGCGTGTCGCGGAATACGGAAGGTGATATTAACTGACCAGGGTCCCTGTTTTGAAAGACTACTACGACAGCTTATTAAAAGGGGGGACGAGTGTGGTGTGAGCTACTTATAAGTAGTATATGACGTGAGTGTCAACGTAATGTCTGGCAGCCGAAGATGGGGGAAGATCAAGAAAGGAAGAGTTACAAAACAATGGAATTTGTATGAAACGCATGAATAATGAGTGACAATGGATTGATGTTTTGCAACAGGAACAGTCCAGTTCGATATGATGAACTGATATTTTGCAAATTAACTAACGATTTACGATATGGTTTTCCAATTTTACTGAGTAACTCTGTAATTTTCGTTAAATACAATTCGGTTGCCACACCTGTGTTCTCATTCACTACATAATAATACGTCGAGTCCACAGAACTAGTCTTGGGCTTTTGTAAAAAAAAAAACTAATGAACTTTTTCTGTCGAAGTTACTATTCCCACATCTTTCAACTATTTGCTCATAACCTTGGTTGCTTTTACCTGAGTACACACGTGTGGATTGGTTACTTCACTTATTATTACATGTCTAGCTTATTTTAGCCTGACTATAAATTACGAAGGTTCACACGTCTTCGCCACTTCGCTTCGCTGTGCTTGTACGCTATTCATTCTCATGTCTGTCTGCAGTGAACAATTACTTAAAATAAATTCATTCAACTTGAATCTGTATCTAGCTTCTTATTACAGCCGTTACACAAACCGGGTTCGCTTAAAGGGAAGACCGTCATAGGCCACTACATACTCTGTTAATTGCATTGCGGGATTGTTGTGAAGATTGTTAAGTTTTATTTGTAACCATGAATCGATCAATGTTAGACCACCATTAGAAACCTGGAAGCACTGGACGACCGGTTCGTCCCGGTATGGGACTCATCAGCAGTGCGCATCTACGACTCCTGCACCCCGCAGGATTCGAACCCAGGACCTTCGGTATTGTGCGCCAACGCCCTAACCGTTAGACCATTGAGCCGGTATCTAACGGTGTTAATGTCTAACTTTGATCAAATTCACGGAGTCGCGCAACCTCATACACAATCTTCGGTAGTTACTGTCTACACCCGAACAGGTTGAACTTCACTGGTCACGTCTTCCCACTAGAACTCGGAGATACCTCACGAAGCTGGTCACTAGTGAGCATAGGTAATTTGCATCACGGGGTTGTTATGAAGATTGTTAAGTTTTTTTTGCGCAACTCCGTGAATTGATCAGGATTCGAACCCAGGACCTTCGGTATTGTGTACGAACGCCCTAACCATCCGACCACTGAACCGGTATCTAACGGTGTTTATGTCTAACTTCATCAAATTCACGGAGTCGCGCAACCTCATACCCTGTATACATCTGAACAGGTTTTTAACTTCACTGGTCACGACTTCCCACCACTAGAACTCGGAGGAGATTCCTTCCTCACCAAGCTAGTCACTAGCAGACACATGTAAGTAATTGCATTGCGGGGTTGTTGTGAAGATTGTTAAGTTTTACTTGTAACCATGTAACCTTGTATACAGGGTATGAGGTTGCGCGACTCCGTGGATTTGATCAAGTTAGACTCTATTAGTTGACTGGAATCATGAAAAAAAATTACACATCAGTAGTTTGCATAAGTAGATAATATTTTTTTGCGAAAAAACAGTAAGGAGTAATAATCAATCACATGTTTTTATAAAAAAAATTACCTGAATTTAATGAATGTTTATCCATTGCTAAACTTAAACCTTCTTCAATCGAGGATAAACCTTGTCGGCTGCTTTTATTTAACAAACTTGTTAATCGATCTAATTGATTATTGGCATTGGACAAACGTTGTCTTAAACACCAGTTCGTATCAGATTGTAGCTCCAACTAAAAATGTGAAAAAATATTACAGTTGAATCAATATTTTTAAAAAAAGGAGAAAAACTAGTTTTTTACGCACGCACGTAAATGTGTCAATTTGATATGCTTGAACTATATTACGAGTTAACGAGTTAGTCAGTAAACGAGAGCGAGGATCCAGTGACAAGACATGCTATCCTAATCCGGTGACAGAGACAGACAGATACAACGCAGAACTTCTTTCGTAAGTACATCAGTTCAGGTTGCCATACCACATTAACACAGAGACGCAAATGTCAAATCAAATCCCATAGTGATAAAGATAGTAGAGGTATTAATGGTCATGAAGAAGACTAGGGTTTGAAGATATTATTCAAGAAGTATAATTCAGTGAGATAAGGTTAGAAAGACAAAGGTAGTGGTGCTGACGAATCCAGAAGATTAGGATTCGAGAGAGCTCAAAGAATGGATTCACTTGCGCCATTGCAAACGATTTTGAGCCATGTCGTTGTTCAAGGTCTCTAACCATTGGTGACAATCGTCTCGCAGACCCCAACCAGGTAGTCTACATCTACCAACATGACTCAGTCCACTTGTCAGTGACTTCATGGATTTCTGACATGTTTTGGTCTGGCCGCCCCTAGCTTTCATCTAACCTATTCCTACACCACAAAACATAGCTCGTCGAGGCAGTCGGTGGTTAGCCATACGTAACACATGTGCCAACAACCTCAACTGATGAAGTTTCACTACTTCATCAATTGATCTGCCATCCTTACCTAGCACCCGTTTCCTAACGACAGCACTGCTTACTCGGTTGCCCCACGGTATACGAGCAGTACTTCTTAAACATCTATGATCGAATACTAGTAACCTACGAATATCTTTACTCTCACTGGATATTACGCCTACGACATAAGTGACGCAGGTTGGCAAAAGCCAATCGAGCCTTCTGTATCCGAGCTGAGATTTCGTCAGTCACCAGGCTTTCAGCACTGATGAGACTCTCCAGGTAAGTGAAGTGATCAACACGCTCGACTACTTCACTCCCTATCACTAGTTCAGGTACTGATGCAACCCAGTCTTGAAGCAACCTTCAGGAACATAAGTTCCAGCCAATATAGCTCGGTTCAGCTATCACGATAGGCAATCCCGACCACCACGTCAAGGTAGCAGCTTCGGTTGAAGAAAAGTCATACAATGTGCTTACTAGTGACTAGCTTCGTGAGGAAATTCTCTCAATCTTAGTGAGAAGAAGAGATCAATGGAGCTCAACTCTGTCGGGGGTAGGCAGTAAATACCAAAGACAAAGGGGTGAGGTCGTGCAAAACCATGAATTGATCGAAGTTATACATTAATACCCCTATTGAATAACAGAAGACTTGATATGAAGTAGAACGTGTACTCTACAAGTATCCAGAAAGTACGAGGTCAGAGTCCAGAAGAGAATCAGGATCCCGGACTAGGGATCTAGGTCATAAAATGTTACACATAATGCGTATTTATATACATTTAGGTCGAATAGGAAACAACAGTGAAGTCTGTGACAATTACAGTTAAGACGACCAATAGGAAACAACGTATGAATTGACGTTGATAACTAGGACGACCATAAAATTGACCAGTAGGAATTAACCTATAGAAATTGACGAATAATTCTCTAGGGATACATATTGGATGAATATCCTAACAAAAGTTAAGTGTAGTTATACAGGCTCTCTACTCAAACACCACTGGTCGGGTGAGAGCTTATGGCGAATTGTCATCGGAATACTTTACTTCAAATGGCCCGACCGTAACTGTTACCTTGTTGAAGTGGTGATCGGGTCTGCCCATTGTGATGAGCCAACCGAGCTATATTGACGAACAAATGTTCCTGTAGGTGCTACCATGCCAAGCAGGTCGGTCGGAGAACAGTAAGACTAAAAGAAGCAATTCAAGGTCTGAGGGCGATATCCTACTGCTGACTGTAGAGCGGTGTTATAGTAGTAATGTGTTTTCGTCGGACAATCAGCATCTACTACAATTCTGCCTTCCCACAAAGAAGGAACGGCTTAGAAAAGGTCAACCTTCAATATGTCACAACTCCACCTTACCTCAAGGATTTCCGCCTCCAGCGCTAAAGCCACCTGTAGAGCAGGGCCAACACTTTAAAATCTTCTCAGAATAAGGCCGTGAGTGATCGGCCTCAAGCAGTTAGTTGTCTCTTGGGCTTCACGGTCTTGCTCGCAAGTACCTAAGAGCACCGCTAACCTACTTTCCATTATTCAAGTTCCTCAAGAAACACTCTTCCACGGTGTGTGAGCAGCCGGGAAGTGATGTCCGCCTTCATTCCTATAACTGCACACTAGACCAAATCGGTCATAATCAAATCCTTCCTATATATATAGATATAAATATCAGTCAGTCAGATGCAAAGTAAGTACATCAGTTCATGTCGCCATACCACATCAGTACAGAGATGTAATTGTCAATTCAAATCCAACAGTAGAAGAGGAAGTAAGGGTATTAGGAGTAATCGGAGAGGTTAGGATTAGAAGATATTATTCAAGAAGAATGATTCAATGAGAAAAGTTTAGAAAGTCAAAACTAGAGGGGTTGAACAACCCAGAAGATTAGGATTTGAGAGGACACAAAGAATAAATGCACCGGCGCCATTGCAAACGATTTTGAGCCATGTCATTCAAGGTCTCTAACCATCGATTATTATCATCTCGCGGACCCCAACCAGGTAGTCGACAATTACCGACATGGCTAAGTCTACTAGTCAATGACTTCATGGATTTCTGACATGTTTTGGATTGGCCGCCCCTAACTTTCTTCCAACCTACTCCTACACTACAAAACAGGGCTCGACGAGGCAGTCGGTGGTTGGGCATACGCAAGACATGTCCCAACCACCTCAACTGATTAAGTTTCACCACTTCATCAATTGATCTGCCATGCTTAGCTAGCACCCGTTTCCTAACGACAGCATTGCTTACTCGGTTGTCCCACGGTATACGAGCAGTATTTCTTAAACATCTATGATCGAATACTAGTAACCTACGAATATCTTCTTCTCTCACTAGCCATGTTTCACAGCCATATAGGAGAACGGAGCGAGCTGCTGCACAGTACACTCGTCCTTTAGTCAGCAAACGGATATCTCGCCTACGTCATAAGTGACGCAGGTTAGCAAAAGCCAATCGAGCCTTCTGTATCCGAGCTGAGATTTCGTCAGTCACCAGGCCATCGGCACTGATGAGACTCTCTAGATAAGTGAAGCGGTCTACACGTTCGACTACTTCACTCCCTATCACTAGTTCAGGTGCCGCTGAAACCCAATCTTGAAGCAACATTTTGCATTTCGAGGGTGAGAACCGCATCCCGAACATGGTTGCATTGTTGCTTATGGTGGTCAGAAAACTCTGCATTTTGTCAGCGTCTTCACCGAATAGGACAATGTTATCGGCATATTCTAAGTCAATCAGCGAGACACCTGGTAAAAGGTCTATATATATCATCAAATCTATGCAATCATTCATTTCACTTACTTCTGATGTAACAATATGATATTGATCCAATAGATATTTAGCTAAACTACGTAATTCATGCAAATTTCTTAAATGATCCACGGAATCTAGCAATTCATTGATTGGCGCTTTTTCTGCACGTTTTGGATAAGTGATATTCGTTGTAAAATTGAAATTCGATGCAATATTACTACTACTACTAGTAATAGTAGTAGCAGTGGTGTTGTAGTTGACAGAACCACAACAAGTATTAGTGAGGGTAGTAGTGAAAAATGTTTGAATAAGCTCAGTAACTCTAGTAGCAGTAGTACTAGTACTAGTAGTAGTGGCTGCTGTTGTATTCGTCATGTTTGCAATGTTTTCTGGATGTTTTTCCATTGATGACGATGGAATTGTTATTTGACAAGGAATATGATTCTCATCTATTTGTTGTTGAAGTATAATACTGTGACTGTGGTTTTTATTGTTGTTGCTTATTGGATTAATAACAGTTAACAATTTTGTCAAACAGTCCACCAGTTCATCTTGTCTAGAGTCAGATAATTGAGGAGGTTGTGTTGACTGAAGAAAATATTGATTGATTTCATGTAATCTATTCAATGCATTTTGAATTAATGTATACAAATGTTGTTCATACCACTGAAAGGAAAAAAACAACAGAAGGGAGAAGTATGAAGAAAGTTTTTAATTAGCTGTTTACTATGATATAATAACGCGAAGAGTAAACCACTACTAGCAGAGTTGATAGATAACCCTTAGAATTGTCTGAGTTAATAAAACAGATTAGGTTACGGATTACTGATATGCTTGAATGCTATCACGAGTTTACCTTACTCTGTAAAGAGGACGAAGCAATGACTAAGTGACACGATAGGCTATTCTAATCCGTTTGTTTCCGGCCCGGCTAACTAACTAACTATATCAAGAAGTTTTGATAAGGCGTAGAACGTATATTCTACAAGCACCCAGAAAACATGAAGTTTTCAAGTAGACAAATCTAGCTTATTTATACATGATACAAACGTCCTTGGAAGAGCCACAAAATAGCGTACTAAAGTAATCCATCAACTAATGATAACAGGGGATTTTCCGAGTGTGAACTGTAAGATGAGGGTCAACAAGGCAACTTATACGCGAAAACATAAAAAATCCAAAATTAGGACTTTTACCAAGTGAGTTATCATCTCGTGGGCCCCGACCAGGTAGTCGACACCTACCAACATGACTTAGTTCAGTTGTCAGTGACTTCATAGATTTGTGCCATGTTTCAGTTTGGCCGCCCGTAGATTTCTTTCAACCTATTCCTACATCGCAAAACATAGCTCGACGAGGCAGTCGGTATCTATACAATTCATCCTCAATCATAAGACATGACTGAGACATATCATTTGTAAATGAATAAATGTCAACTCAGCGGTTTACAGGTAGAGTCTTCGCGTGCGAGACCGCAGAAGCTCGGTTTGATTCCCGCATGCAAATGTCGTGGATGTGTGCTACTGAAGACGCCCATACTAGGAAAAAATGGCCGTCTGATGCGTCCAGGTTTCTATTGATAGTTTAGCTTAAATCAGTTTGTTGTTTCAACTATGAAAATAACACGATCTTCACGAATTCGCTTCATCCAATACGATAATCAAATCTAACTATTTAGGCCTTTACTGTTGTCAGTTTGAGATGAATTATTGGTAACATTCATCATGTGGTCGATTTAAGGAAGCAGAGCAAAGAAACCAGGAGTCTTCTGATTTGTATTGACTAATTGTTATACCGATTACTGCTTACACAATTTGCTTACAAGATGTCGAGAAATTCTAACGAAAATCAAATCAACAATCAAAAATTTATTGTCCTGAAGTTATTTATCATGTATCCATTTGAATGACAATAGTCAGTTATAAACAATGTACCATCAAAAATAGTTCAACACCGACCTAAGTTCAGTCAGTCAGATGCAACGTAGAACTTCGTACGTAAGTACATCAGTTCATGTCGCCATACCACATCAGCACACAGAGATGTAATTGTCAATTCAAATCCAATAGTAGAAGAGCTAGTAAGGGTATTAGAAGTAATCGGACAGGTTAGGATTAGAAGATATTATTCAAGAAGTATGATTCAGCGAGATAAGTTTAGAGAGTCAAAACTAGAGGTGTTGAAGAATCCAGAAGATTAGGATTTGAGAGAGCACAAAGAATAAATGCACCGGCGGCATTGCGAACGATTTTGAGCCATGTCATTCAAGGTCTCTAACCATCGATTATTATCATCTCACGGACCCCCCAACCAGGTAGTCTACAACTACCGACATGACTCAGTCCACTTGTCAATGACTTCATGGATTTCTGACATGTCTTAATTTGGCCGCCCCTAACTTTCTTCCAACCTATTCCTACACTACAAAACAAGGCTCGACGAGGCAGTCGGTGGTTCGGCATACGCAAGACATGTCCCAACCACCTCAACTGATGAAGTTTCATTACTTCATCATTTGATCTGCCATTCTTACCTAGCACCCGAATGCTAATAACAGCGTTGCTCACTCGAGTGTCCCACAATATACGAGCAATGCTTCGAAGACACCTATGATCGAAAACCAATAACCGACGAATATCTTCTACTCTCACTGGCCATGTTTCACAGCCATAAAGTAAGACGGAGCGAACTACTGCGCAGTAAACTCGTCCTTTATTCAGCAAACGGATATCTCGCCTACGCCATAACTGACGCAGGACCGACCTAAGTTGCTAAGATCTCCCCAATAGGATATTAACTAGTTGAAAACAATAAGTAAGCAAACAGAATATTATCTGATTTTCAAACAGGCATCTAAATGATACATTCAACTCAAATAAGCCTCTTGTCAGTCTGTCGGTAACAACGTCGACGTTTGTACGTACGTACATCAGTTCAAGTTGAAATACCACATTCTCAGTGAGATGCAATTGTCAATTCAAATCTCATACTGGTAGAGGTAATAAGTAATCAGAAAGTCAGTCAGTCAGTCAGTCATCGTTTGCATTAGCGGTGCAGTCAGATAAGGGAATGTGAGTAGAGGTAGTTGTGGAGAGAAGAGAGGTATTAGGGGGTGTAGGAAGGATTTGATTTTGACCAATTTGGTCTCTCGTGCTGTTACGGGTATGAGGACGGTTATCACTTCCCGGCTGCCGACACCGTGGAAGGTTGTTTCTTAAGGAACCTGAAAAGGAAGATAGATTAGAGTTGGTCTTAGAGACCTGGGAGCGTGACCGCAGAGTCCAAGGGACAACTGCTTGAGGCCGGTCACGCACGGCATTTTTATGAAAGGATTTTGGAGTAAGCTCCGCTCTCGAAAGCCCTCAGTGGGCACCCTTACCACCGGAGACGGAAATCCATGAGGTAGGGTGAGGTGTGACATTTTTAGGGTCGACCTTTTCTAACCCTTCCTTTCTTGTGAGAAGGCAGCATCGCTGCAGATGCTGGTTGTCTGAGGGAAAAACCTTACTGCTGTCACACCCCTCAGCAGTCAGCAGTACGACTTCGCCCTCAGAACTTGAGTAGCTGCTTTTAGTCTCATCGTTCTCCAATCGACCTGCTTGGCATGGTAGAACTTTCAGTAACATATGTTCTAGCCAGTAGAGCTCGGTTGGGTCATCACGATAGGCAAGCCCGACCACCACGTCAAGGTAGCAGCAACGGTCGGGAGTAATCAGAAAGATTAGGGTTTGAACTGATAATCACACACACCATGAGTAGATTATTAAGGAAGTAAGTAACACTGTTTATTTAACGTAATAATTAATTAATAGATTTTTGTAAAATTTTTACGACAATAACCATATAATAACAACAAATGAATATTTACAAGTTACTCACATCGGTATCTTCATGATAGGACATTCGGCCGGATGTGTGAATATCCTCCTCCTTGTCTACTTTCTCGTGTTCTTCATCTCCCTCTTCCTTCTCCTTCGCCTCCACTGCCTCCTCTTCCGCATAATCTAAATTAGTAACATTATCTTCAACCAATAGTGTCATTTGTTGTAATTCGTTCTGTTTCATCTGATTTAAACGTTTCGCTTTCTCTTGTTCTGCTTCGTTCAATTTCATCTGAATACAATTCAATTGATTCGTATACATTTCAATTTTTCTCATGATCACTTCAATATCTGCACTACCACTTCCACTTCCACTACTGACAGATGATAGTGGACAATTCTCAGTCAACGATTGTTCAACTCGTTCGTAATCGATTTGATTTGCTGTATTGTCATCGGCGTCGGCGTCATCATCTCCACTTACAGCATAATTTACTCCGATTATTTCAGTGGGCATAATCATAGTGTCGTCGTCGGTAACCGCATCATCATCATCACCATCATCTGTTGTATTTTCTCTCTGATTCACTTGACTACTATCAATTATTAATGCTTTCAATTGAATGATTTCCAAATTCAATTTATCACGTTCTTCGGTTAATTCATTTAACCGAACATTCAGCGAATTAAGCTGATTCTCTGCAATACCCACCCTCATCATTCGATCATGAAAATCATTAATGAATGAATTTAAATTTGGCATAATCTCACATGGATCTGATATTTTTGGTGAATATGGACTACTAGTAGTAGTAGTAGTAGTAGTAGTAGTAGTAGTAGTAGTAGTAGTATCAAACATTGGTGTTGTGTGATCATGACTATCATCAATTTTAGACAAAAGCATAAATAAACTATTGAACATTGAATTAACATTTGTTTCCCATTCATGATTTCTTTTTTGTAATAAATTCAATTGTTCAACAAGATCTGATTGTTTTTCACGATCAGATAAACATTCTTTGTCTTTAGTATGCATTAATCTCTCGGTTAATTTATCATCATTGATATGATTTTCAATGATTTTCATCTTTACATTGATTTCGTCTATTCGTTTAAACAAATAATTTATAGTCTTTCTCATTGAATTATCTAATTCACACAATTTGTGTTCAACAACATTGTCATCTTTCATGAATAAATTATCACGATTATCTTCATGATGATCGAGAACACTTGTTGAAGTTTTTGATGATAACGACGATGTTGTTAATTCATCAACATGGTGAAGATTATTTTCTACTTGATTCCAATGTGACTTAATAATAAATTCTTGATCATTTCTCAGAGCTGGTTTCAATAAATCATAATGTTGTTCAGGAAGAGACTGACTTTCACGGCTTTGTTTCAATAAAGATTTCAAGGAGTCAAGTTCTTGCGTCAATTCACTAATTTTCTTCGTATTCAATTGATTTTGTTTGATTAAGGCTAAATTTTCAAAACACATTCTACTTTCAGTTTCTAATGAAGTTTGTAAATTCATTTCCATTTGATTATCATCCTGCATTAGTTGTTCGTAATCATCATCAGTAGTAGTTGTAGATCGATTAAGAAACATATGCACATGTTGAAAACGATTCGGAATACTACTATTATCCAATTCATTACAAGTAATTAGTTCATTATTCAATGTAACATATTGATGAATACGTTGTATCAATAATGATACAGATGATGATGACGAGGTTGATTTATTCAAATATTGAACAATTTCTTTGAATAATCCATCGATAAACGACTGTAGACTGTGATTGATTTTATCGATCGATGAATCATCTTGATCATGGAGTGTATTTTGTTCAGTACAAGAAGAAGAAAATGTATTCAATCTGATATGATGTAACAATTGACATAAACGATTAATTTCTGATTTAGCTATGGTAAGCTCTAGTAGTTGTTCATGTGCAGAAGATTTTTCAATTAATGATTTTTGTGATATCATTATTCTTGATGAATCCAATGTCTCAGAGGTTCGATTAGCTGTAAATGTGCAGCAGTTATCATCATCAGACACGATTGGCTCGTTATCATTAGGTGGTGGTAGAGGATTAATGACAACATGAGGTGTATCGACGCTTAACATTTCATTGTTTTGTATTAAATTAGAATTTTCAATGTTAGAATAACATAACTTACATAAATTGCATAAAATACTATGTTCAGTAGAGGAGTGACTACTACTTTTTAAACAAAATAAACAAGATGGTAAACCATGTAACATTAATGAATCACGTAGATTTGAAAGACTTAATAGACAATTGGAATGATGATTACCAAAAATTTCAATAAAATTAGATAATTTAGTAAAATTAAGAAAATCTGTCCATATAGTTAACATTTCATTAGATAAATTATAATCAAAATCTGTTTTAGAAAAATAAATTAAACTAGAAAGTAAATTGATAAATATAGAAAGAATTTGAAAACATAAGTCAACAAAATCTATAGCAAATGCTAAAGTTAAATTATTGCTAGAAAGTTTTTGTCGAAGATCAGCTAATTCAGTATGTAAATATGAAAGACGTGAAGAATCAGAGCATGAATTACAGAAAGCGGAAATATCAGTGGACACTGGAGAGGATTTCGGAATATCAAAATGACAACATGAAGTATGACGAGAGGTATCCGGAATAGAAATAACTGTAGGAATCATTTCTGAAACATGCCTCCTACATAGATGACAGCATTGGCAACCGTTATCGGACAGAGAATGTCCACTAAAACCGTCTGAGGTTCCGATGCCCACGTCACTCCTGCACACTGCTCTTACCAACCTGGCATCCACATCGTCTGCCATATCCAACCGAGCACGCAGTTCCAACAATTCTTTCATGGCTGTGTCACGTTCACTCACAATTTCGTTCACGCGCGACTCCCAGTCTTGACTAGCTATCGTCAACATTGTGTTGCAACGCTCTTCCATCGATGTCTCAAGTCGGCACAATTGATCCTGTAGTGCAGAGCACTCGTCGCGTGAAGTCGACAGTCGACTCTCCAGCTCTGAAATTGCACAAACTTTCTCACGTCTATAGGCTTCCAGTTCGTCTCGAGCAATCGACGCCTGTTCAACTGCTTCACCGAGAGCTCTTTGCATGGACACCATCTCCGACGCCTGCTTATCACACAGGTCTCGGAACTTGCCGAGCTCCTCAGACAGCTCACGGTTCGTATCGCACAATCTCATCATTTCACCCACAGAATCCGAATCTTGTCCTGCTGGCATCGACGTAACTTCATCACATTCGTCTGGTCGTACAAAGCTATCAAGCATGACAGCAGACTCCAAGGGCTCTGGCCATGTCATCGTTTCACACTCACGGTCCACGTGTTCAACTGCAGCATGAGACAACCCTGTTGTAACAGCATCTAAGCACTCCTGCACTCGTTCTTCGTGCTCTCTACACCAATCTCCATAGTCGGAACGCAGACCTCTTACATGGTCAACCACAAACGCCAGCAGTGCTTTCGCCTTGGTCACGTCATTCTCCAGGTCAGTGGTCACAGTCGCATAGCTATCTAGACGACGCTTCAGCGACTCACACTCACAAATCAGGGCATTGTTCAGTGACTCACACTCTTTCAATTTCTCACTGACCGTCTCCAGCTCCAACGACTGTGTATCCAATGCACGCTGCAAATCCTCCCGCAACCCGTCTGATGTACAACGGTCAGTCAACAAACCTTCATGTGCATAGTCAGTGTCTTGCACCGGTGACGTCGATCGACCAACTGTTTCGCACAAGCGACGTGAAGCTCGTTCATACTCACTCACTCTGTTCGCCATCTCCGCGCGATCAGCATTCGCCTCAGCATGTGCTTCACGCAAATCCTTCACCTGCCTCAACAAGAAACCCAGTGATCCTCTGACCTCATCCATCTCTACACACACGTTGTCCAACAGTGTCATGCGCTCTGAAGTACTGCTTCGTAACAAGTCTACCTCTGCCATCAGCTCCTCGTTCCGCTTCGACAATGCGTCGACTTCTTGCGTCAATTTCGTCGACTGGTCAGACACACGTGCACCAAGAGGCATCGCATCCATCAGTTTGTCCTCACACACCATGACACCTTCCAGCTCACGCAGACGCACACTCAGCTCTGCCTTGACGTTCTCAAGTTCGCAGATTCTACTCATCGCCTCCTTCAATCGCGCTCTTAGAGTGTCTGTGTTCGACAGGGCAACTTCCTCATTGTCTTCGTCTTGCTCACTTGTCGCTTTCGCCCAACTCTTACTGACATGAATCGGTGAGATCGCCTTCTCGTCTGAAACGCCCTCAACACACAAGTCAGTAGTTTGTATGGCCATTCGATCAGGCACAATATCTAGCACTGAGTCGTCTGCCATAGTCTCCGCCACCTCCCTGTCAGGAACGCCAGTCAACACGTCTGTCTCGACTCTGGCAGTATCATCAACCTCTGCCGACTCACCGACAACCACATCGGCCACCTTTGTCACAGTCTCACAAGTAATAGACAAAGTGGTCTCGTTCACCACGATACGTGACTCCAACTCCTGCAATTCGGCCCGTTTCATCGTCAACTCGCGCTGTGAACTCTCCAGAACCGTCAACATAGCCGCGTGTTCCTCACGTAGACGAACAACCTCGAGCTGCAACGTCGACATCAGGTCGGAAACATCGTCGCTCATCTCCGTCTGCACACACTCTTCTACCACAGCAGTGTCCAGTGCACGACTCTCCATACACATCGCCGGCACCGCTTTCTCACTCTCCAACACACTCACATTTGCACGTAAAGTCTCCAAATCGCGTCGTTCGGCCTCCACAGTCGCCTTCCATTCGCTCACTTCGTCTCGCAAATTACGCTTCTCTTCTTTCAGATCCGCTAATTCACTCTCTTTCACAGCCAACAAACCCCGGACATCCATCAACGAACTACCACTCTCCTCCACCGATCTAGACAGTCTGGCTATCTCTTCATAACAAGACACCAACTCTCCGCGCAGCTGACAAACCACATTCGAAGTATCTTCACACAAACTAGAACTAGCCAACTGCTCTCTCACCGTCTCCACTGGAATCCAAGTCGACTGGTCCACAGTGGACGGATCAGTAGATGCTGAACTTGCCAATGTGTCAGTAGTCAAACAACACACACTGTCCGTCACCTGAATACCCACGTCGACAAATCCAGTCACAGGATCAACCAACACACTAGACTTGTGCTCGTCGTCTATGCACTCCAAGCAGTAGTCGCTCCAACCGTCAACCACCATGCAATTCAACTCGTCGTCCTCTGCATCTTTACCAACGCCCACGCTCACAGTCTCTCTGGGGTGACTAGTGAACCCTGATGACAAGGCTACATCACGTTCAATCAGACCATCTGACGTTCCAGTTCCCACGTCACTCCTGCACACTGCTCTTACCAACCTGGCATCCACATCGTCTGCCATATCCAACCGAGCACGCAGTTCCAACAACTCTTTCATGGCTGTGTCACGTTCACTCACAATTTCGTTCACGCGCGACTCCCAGTCTTGACTAGCTATCGTCAACATTGTGTTGCAACGCTCTTCCATCGATGTCTCAAGTCGGCACAATTGATCCTGTAGTGCAGAGCACTCGTCGCGTGAAGTCGACAGTCGACTCTCCAGCTCTGAAATTGCACAAACTTTCTCACGTCTATAGGCTTCCAGTTCGTCTCGAGCAATCGATGCCTGTTCAACTGCTTCACCGAGAGCTCTTTGCATGGACACCATCTCCGACGCCTGCTTATCACACAGGTCTCGGAACTTGCCGAGCTCCTCAGACAGCTCACGGTTCGTATCGCACAATCTCATCATTTCACCCACAGAATCCGAATCTTGTCCTGCTGGCATCGACGTAACTTCATCACATTCGTCTGGTCGTACAAAGCTATCAAGCATGACAGCAGACTCCAAGGGCTCTGGCCATGTCATCGTTTCACACTCACGGTCCACGTGTTCAACTGCAGCATGAGACAACCCTGTTGTAACAGCATCTAAGCACTCCTGCACTCGTTCTTCGTGCTCTCTACACCAATCTCCATAGTCGGAACGCAGACCTCTTACATGGTCAACCACAAACGCCAGCAGTGCTTTCGCCTTGGTCACGTCATTCTCCAGGTCAGTGGTCACAGTCGCATAGCTATCTAGACGACGCTTCAGCGACTCACACTCACAAATCAGGGCATTGTTCAGTGACTCACACTCTTTCAATTTCTCACTGACCGTCTCCAGCTCCAACGACTGTGTATCCAATGCACGCTGCAAATCCTCCCGCAACCCGTCTGATGTACAACGGTCAGTCAACAAACCTTCATGTGCATAGTCAGTGTCTTGCACCGGTGACGTCGATCGACCAACTGTTTCGCACAAGCGACGTGAAGCTCGTTCATACTCACTCACTCTGTTCGCCATCTCCGCGCGATCAGCATTCGCCTCAGCATGTGCTTCACGCAAATCCTTCACCTGCCTCAACAAGAAACCCAGTGATCCTCTGACCTCATCCATCTCTACACACACGTTGTCCAACAGTGTCATGCGCTCTGAAGTACTGCTTCGTAACAAGTCTACCTCTGCCATCAGCTCCTCGTTCCGCTTCGACAATGCGTCGACTTCTTGCGTCAATTTCGTCGACTGGTCAGACACACGTGCACCAAGAGGCATCGCATCCATCAGTTTGTCCTCACACACCATGACACCTTCCAGCTCACGCAGACGCACACTCAGCTCTGCCTTGACGTTCTCAAGTTCGCAGATTCTACTCATCGCCTCCTTCAATCGCGCTCTTAGAGTGTCTGTGTTCGACAGGGCAACTTCCTCATTGTCTTCGTCTTGCTCACTTGTCGCTTTCGCCCAACTCTTACTGACATGAATCGGTGAGATCGCCTTCTCGTCTGAAACGCCCTCAACACACAAGTCAGTAGTTTGTATGGCCATTCGATCAGGCACAATATCTAGCACTGAGTCGTCTGCCATAGTCTCCGCCACCTCCCTGTCAGGAACGCCAGTCAACACGTCTGTCTCGACTCTGGCAGTATCATCAACCTCTGCCGACTCACCGACAACCACATCGGCCACCTTTGTCACAGTCTCACAAGTAATAGACAAAGTGGTCTCGTTCACCACGATACGTGACTCCAACTCCTGCAATTCGGCCCGTTTCATCGTCAACTCGCGCTGTGAACTCTCCAGAACCGTCAACATAGCCGCGTGTTCCTCACGTAGACGAACAACCTCGAGCTGCAACGTCGACATCAGGTCGGAAACATCGTCGCTCATCTCCGTCTGCACACACTCTTCTACCACAGCAGTGTCCAGTGCACGACTCTCCATACACATCGCCGGCACCGCTTTCTCACTCTCCAACACACTCACATTTGCACGTAAAGTCTCCAAATCGCGTCGTTCGGCCTCCACAGTCGCCTTCCATTCGCTCACTTCGTCTCGCAAATTACGCTTCTCTTCTTTCAGATCCGCTAATTCACTCTCTTTCACAGCCAACAAACCCCGGACATCCATCAACGAACTACCACTCTCCTCCACCGATCTAGACAGTCTGGCTATCTCTTCATAACAAGACACCAACTCTCCGCGCAGCTGACAAACCACATTCGAAGTATCTTCACACAAACTAGAACTAGCCAACTGCTCTCTCACCGTCTCCACTGGAATCCAAGTCGACTGGTCCACAGTGGACGGATCAGTAGATGCTGAACTTGCCAATGTGTCAGTAGTCAAACAACACACATTGTCCGTCACCTGAATACCCACGTCGACAAATCCAGTCACAGGATCAACCAACACACTAGACTTGTGCTCGTCGTCTATGCACTCCAAGCAGTAGTCGCTCCAACCGTCAACCACCATGCAATTCAACTCGTCGTCCTCTGCATCTTTACCAACGCCCACGCTCACAGTCTCTCTGGGGTGACTAGTGAACCCTGATGACAAGGCTACATCACGTTCAATCAGACCATCTGACGTTCCAGTTCCCACGTCACTCCTGCACACTGCTCTTACCAACCTGGCATCCACATCGTCTGCCATATCCAACCGAGCACGCAGTTCCAACAACTCTTTCATGGCTGTGTCACGTTCACTCACAATTTCGTTCACGCGCGACTCCCAGTCTTGACTAGCTATCGTCAACATTGTGTTGCAACGCTCTTCCATCGATGTCTCAAGTCGGCACAATTGATCCTGTAGTGCAGAGCACTCGTCGCGTGAAGTCGACAGTCGACTCTCCAGCTCTGAAATTGCACAAACTTTCTCACGTCTATAGGCTTCCAGTTCGTCTCGAGCAATCGATGCCTGTTCAACTGCTTACGTTATGGGTGCTCTGTAGTACGGGATCAATTGTGCCGGACTGAGGCATTGATAGAAGGGCGTTGCAACACAGTGGTCGCAATAGCCAGTCGAGATTGGGAGTTGGGCGGGAACGAAATTGCGAGTGAACGTGACACAGCCGTGAAAGAGTTGTCGGAACTGCGTGCTGAGTTGGATGTGGCAGACTATGTGGATGCCAGGTTGGTAAGAGCAGTGTCGAGGAGTGACGTGGGAACTGAGATGCTGGATTGTACCATTGAACTTGATGTAGCCTTGTCATCAGGGTTCACTAGTCACTCCAGAAAGACGGTGGAGGTGAGCGTTGGTGAGAATTCAGAGGGTGATGAGTTGAGTTGCACGGTGGTTGGCGGTTGGAGCGACTGCTGCTTGGAGTGCACACACGACGAGCACCAGTCTGGTGTATTGGCTGATCGTCCGACTGAGTTTGTCGACTCGGGGACTCAAGTGACAGACAGAGTGTGTTATTCGGCTACTGACACATTGGCAACTTCAGAACCTACTGATCCATCCACTGTGGACCAGTCGACCTGTATTCCAGCGGAGATGGTGAGAGCGCAGCTGGTTAGTTCAAGTTTGCGTGAAGATGCTTCGAATCTGGTTTGTCAGCTGCAGGGAGAGTTGGCGTCTTGTTATGAACAGATAGTCAGACTGTCTAGATCAGTGGAGGAGAGTGATGCTTCGTTGATGGATGTGCGGCGTTTGTTGGCTGTGAAGGAGGTTGAAGTAGTGGACCTGAGAGAAGAGAGGCGTAATTTGCGAGACGAAGTGAGCGAATGGAGAGAGATTGTGGAGGCAGAAAGACGCGATTTTGAGATTTTGCGTGCAAATATGAGTGTGTTGGAGAGTGAGAGAGCTGTGTCGGCGATGTGTATGGAGAGTCGTGCACCGGACACTGCTGTGGAGGAAGGGTGTGCGCAGACGGAAATGGAGGACAACGCTTCCGACCTGGTATCGACGCTGCAGCTCGAGGTTGCTCGTCTGCGTGAGGAACGTGCGGTGGCGTTGACGGCTCTGGAGCGTTCACAGCGCGAGTTGATGATGCAACGGGCAGAATTTCAGGAACTGGAGTCACGTATGGTGATGAACAAGACGACTTGTTCCATTCCTTGTGAGACTGTGACAAAGGTGGCCGATGTAGTTGTCCATGAATTAGCAGAGGTTGATAACACGGACAGAGTCGAGGCAGACGTGCTGACTGGAGTTGCTGATAGGGAGGTGGCGGAGACATCTGCAGACGACTCAGTGCCAGACATTGTGCCTGAACGACTGATCATACAAAGTACGGACTTGTGTGTTGAAGGTGTTTCAGACGAGAATGCAGTCTCGTTGACTCATGTCACTGAGAGTTGGACGAAAGCGACGAGTGAGCAAGACGAAGACAATGCGGAACTTTCCGTGTCGAGCACAGGCACCTTAAGAGTTCGATTGAAGGAGGCCATGAGTAGAGTCTGCGAACTTGAGAACACCAAGACAGAGCTGATTGTGCGTCTGCGTGAGCTGGAAGGTGTCATGATGTGTGAGGACAGGCTGAATAATGTGATGCCTGTTGGTGCACGTGTGTTTGACCAGTCGACGAAAGGGACGGAAGAAGTCTATGCATTGTCAACGAAGAACGAGAAGTTGGTGGCAGAGGTAGACTTGTTACGAAGCAACATTTCCGAGCGCAAGAAACTGTTGGAGAATGTGTGTATGGAGGTGGATGAGGTCAAAGGATCACTGGGTTTCTTGTTGATGCAGGTGAAAGATTTGCGTGCAGCACATGCTGAGGCGAATGCTGATCGCTCCGTGATGGCGAACAAAGTGAGTGATTACGAACGGGCTTCACGTCACTTGCGCGAAACAGTTGGTCGATCCACGTCACCTGTGCAAGACACTGATTATGCACATGAAGGTTTGTTGACTGACGGTTGTACATCAGACGGGTTGCGAGAGGATTTACAGCGTGCACTGGATGCACGATCGTTCGAGCTGGAGACGGTCACTGAGAAACTGAAAAAGTGTGAGTCACTGAACAATGCCGTGATCTGTGAGTGTGAGTCGCTGAAGCGGTGTCTAGAAAGCTATGCGACTATGACGAGTGACCTGGAGAATGACGTGACCAAGGCGAAAGCACTGTTGGTGTTTGTGGTTGACCATGTAAGAGGTCTGCGTTCCGACTATGGAGATTGGTGTAGAGAGCACGAACGGCGAGTGCAGGAGTGCTTAGATGCCGTTGCAACAGGGTTGCTTCATGCTGCGGTTGAACATGTGGACCGTGAGTGTGAAACGATGACATGGCCAGAACACTTGGAGTCTTCCGTCATGCTTGATAGATTTGTACGACCACGCGAGTGTGGTGAAGCGACATCGATGCAGAGAGGACAAGATTCGGATTCTGTGGGTGAAGTGAGCAGATTGTGCGATATGAACCGTGAGCTGTCTGAGGAACTGAGCAAGTACCGAAACCTGTGTGATAAGCAGGCATCAGAGATTGTGTCCATGCAAACAGCTCTTCGTGAGGCAGTTGAACAGGCGTCATGTGCTCGAGACGAACTGGTAGCCTATAGGCGCGAGAAGGTTTGTGTAATGTCAGAGCTAGAGAGTCGACTTTCCGCTTTACGTTATGGGTGCTCTGTAGTACGGGATCAATTGTGCCGGACTGAGGCATTGATAGAAGGGCGTTGCAACACAGTGGTCGCAATAGCCAGTCGAGATTGGGAGTTGGGCGGGAACGAAATTGCGAGTGAACGTGACACAGCCGTGAAAGAGTTGTCGGAACTGCGTGCTGAGTTGGATGTGGCAGACTATGTGGATGCCAGGTTGGTAAGAGCAGTGTCGAGGAGTGACGTGGGAACTGAGATGCTGGATTGTACCATTGAACTTGATGTAGCCTTGTCATCAGGGTTCACTAGTCACTCCAGAAAGACGGTGGAGGTGAGCGTTGGTGAGAATTCAGAGGGTGATGAGTTGAGTTGCACGGTGGTTGGCGGTTGGAGCGACTGCTGCTTGGAGTGCACACACGACGAGCACCAGTCTGGTGTATTGGCTGATCGTCCGACTGAGTTTGTCGACTCGGGGACTCAAGTGACAGACAGAGTGTGTTATTCGGCTACTGACACATTGGCAACTTCAGAACCTACTGATCCATCCACTGTGGACCAGTCGACCTGTATTCCAGCGGAGATGGTGAGAGCGCAGCTGGTTAGTTCAAGTTTGCGTGAAGATGCTTCGAATCTGGTTTGTCAGCTGCAGGGAGAGTTGGCGTCTTGTTATGAACAGATAGTCAGACTGTCTAGATCAGTGGAGGAGAGTGATGCTTCGTTGATGGATGTGCGGCGTTTGTTGGCTGTGAAGGAGGTTGAAGTAGTGGACCTGAGAGAAGAGAGGCGTAATTTGCGAGACGAAGTGAGCGAATGGAGAGAGATTGTGGAGGCAGAAAGACGCGATTTTGAGATTTTGCGTGCAAATATGAGTGTGTTGGAGAGTGAGAGAGCTGTGTCGGCGATGTGTATGGAGAGTCGTGCACCGGACACTGCTGTGGAGGAAGGGTGTGCGCAGACGGAAATGGAGGACAACGCTTCCGACCTGGTATCGACGCTGCAGCTCGAGGTTGCTCGTCTGCGTGAGGAACGTGCGGTGGCGTTGACGGCTCTGGAGCGTTCACAGCGCGAGTTGATGATGCAACGGGCAGAATTTCAGGAACTGGAGTCACGTATGGTGATGAACAAGACGACTTGTTCCATTCCTTGTGAGACTGTGACAAAGGTGGCCGATGTAGTTGTCCATGAATTAGCAGAGGTTGATAACACGGACAGAGTCGAGGCAGACGTGCTGACTGGAGTTGCTGATAGGGAGGTGGCGGAGACATCTGCAGACGACTCAGTGCCAGACATTGTGCCTGAACGACTGATCATACAAAGTACGGACTTGTGTGTTGAAGGTGTTTCAGACGAGAATGCAGTCTCGTTGACTCATGTCACTGAGAGTTGGACGAAAGCGACGAGTGAGCAAGACGAAGACAATGCGGAACTTTCCGTGTCGAGCACAGGCACCTTAAGAGTTCGATTGAAGGAGGCCATGAGTAGAGTCTGCGAACTTGAGAACACCAAGACAGAGCTGATTGTGCGTCTGCGTGAGCTGGAAGGTGTCATGATGTGTGAGGACAGGCTGAATAATGTGATGCCTGTTGGTGCACGTGTGTTTGACCAGTCGACGAAAGGGACGGAAGAAGTCTATGCATTGTCAACGAAGAACGAGAAGTTGGTGGCAGAGGTAGACTTGTTACGAAGCAACATTTCCGAGCGCAAGAAACTGTTGGAGAATGTGTGTATGGAGGTGGATGAGGTCAAAGGATCACTGGGTTTCTTGTTGATGCAGGTGAAAGATTTGCGTGCAGCACATGCTGAGGCGAATGCTGATCGCTCCGTGATGGCGAACAAAGTGAGTGATTACGAACGGGCTTCACGTCACTTGCGCGAAACAGTTGGTCGATCCACGTCACCTGTGCAAGACACTGATTATGCACATGAAGGTTTGTTGACTGACGGTTGTACATCAGACGGGTTGCGAGAGGATTTACAGCGTGCACTGGATGCACGATCGTTCGAGCTGGAGACGGTCACTGAGAAACTGAAAAAGTGTGAGTCACTGAACAATGCCGTGATCTGTGAGTGTGAGTCGCTGAAGCGGTGTCTAGAAAGCTATGCGACTATGACGAGTGACCTGGAGAATGACGTGACCAAGGCGAAAGCACTGTTGGTGTTTGTGGTTGACCATGTAAGAGGTCTGCGTTCCGACTATGGAGATTGGTGTAGAGAGCACGAACGGCGAGTGCAGGAGTGCTTAGATGCCGTTGCAACAGGGTTGCTTCATGCTGCGGTTGAACATGTGGACCGTGAGTGTGAAACGATGACATGGCCAGAACACTTGGAGTCTTCCGTCATGCTTGATAGATTTGTACGACCACGCGAGTGTGGTGAAGCGACATCGATGCAGAGAGGACAAGATTCGGATTCTGTGGGTGAAGTGAGCAGATTGTGCGATATGAACCGTGAGCTGTCTGAGGAACTGAGCAAGTACCGAAACCTGTGTGATAAGCAGGCATCAGAGATTGTGTCCATGCAAACAGCTCTTCGTGAGGCAGTTGAACAGGCGTCATGTGCTCGAGACGAACTGGTAGCCTATAGGCGCGAGAAGGTTTGTGTAATGTCAGAGCTAGAGAGTCGACTTTCCGCTTTACGTTATGGGTGCTCTGTAGTACGGGATCAATTGTGCCGGACTGAGGCATTGATAGAAGGGCGTTGCAACACAGTGGTCGCAATAGCCAGTCGAGATTGGGAGTTGGGCGGGAACGAAATTGCGAGTGAACGTGACACAGCCGTGAAAGAGTTGTCGGAACTGCGTGCTGAGTTGGATGTGGCAGACTATGTGGATGCCAGGTTGGTAAGAGCAGTGTCGAGGAGTGACGTGGGAACTGAGATGCTGGATTGTACCATTGAACTTGATGTAGCCTTGTCATCAGGGTTCACTAGTCACTCCAGAAAGACGGTGGAGGTGAGCGTTGGTGAGAATTCAGAGGGTGATGAGTTGAGTTGCACGGTGGTTGGCGGTTGGAGCGACTGCTGCTTGGAGTGCACACACGACGAGCACCAGTCTGGTGTATTGGCTGATCGTCCGACTGAGTTTGTCGACTCGGGGACTCAAGTGACAGACAGAGTGTGTTATTCGGCTACTGACACATTGGCAACTTCAGAACCTACTGATCCATCCACTGTGGACCAGTCGACCTGTATTCCAGCGGAGATGGTGAGAGCGCAGCTGGTTAGTTCAAGTTTGCGTGAAGATGCTTCGAATCTGGTTTGTCAGCTGCAGGGAGAGTTGGCGTCTTGTTATGAACAGATAGTCAGACTGTCTAGATCAGTGGAGGAGAGTGATGCTTCGTTGATGGATGTGCGGCGTTTGTTGGCTGTGAAGGAGGTTGAAGTAGTGGACCTGAGAGAAGAGAGGCGTAATTTGCGAGACGAAGTGAGCGAATGGAGAGAGATTGTGGAGGCAGAAAGACGCGATTTTGAGATTTTGCGTGCAAATATGAGTGTGTTGGAGAGTGAGAGAGCTGTGTCGGCGATGTGTATGGAGAGTCGTGCACCGGACACTGCTGTGGAGGAAGGGTGTGCGCAGACGGAAATGGAGGACAACGCTTCCGACCTGGTATCGACGCTGCAGCTCGAGGTTGCTCGTCTGCGTGAGGAACGTGCGGTGGCGTTGACGGCTCTGGAGCGTTCACAGCGCGAGTTGATGATGCAACGGGCAGAATTTCAGGAACTGGAGTCACGTATGGTGATGAACAAGACGACTTGTTCCATTCCTTGTGAGACTGTGACAAAGGTGGCCGATGTAGTTGTCCATGAATTAGCAGAGGTTGATAACACGGACAGAGTCGAGGCAGACGTGCTGACTGGAGTTGCTGATAGGGAGGTGGCGGAGACATCTGCAGACGACTCAGTGCCAGACATTGTGCCTGAACGACTGATCATACAAAGTACGGACTTGTGTGTTGAAGGTGTTTCAGACGAGAATGCAGTCTCGTTGACTCATGTCACTGAGAGTTGGACGAAAGCGACGAGTGAGCAAGACGAAGACAATGCGGAACTTTCCGTGTCGAGCACAGGCACTTTAGGATCCCGATTCGCGGAGATTTTGAGTAGATTATTTGATGTCAAATCGTTCCGCGTTTCTCCTGGCATATGGCCGGTTATTGATGCTTGTCTTCGTGTTTTTCTCTCTAATGGTGATAATTTATATGAAACTTGTCCTTTTCCTTTTTATCTTTCTACTCTTTCTGATCTTATTTTCAATGCGTGTCGTGTTTCTTTCCTAAATGATGAACTTTCTGATCTTCGACGTAAATTTTGCAATTTACTCATGTCTTTTGCATTTGCTGCTGATCTTTCAGAATTATGTTTTAAATTTTTATCAATATTCAATAATTTGTTGTTCAACATATTTATTTCGTCTGAAACCTCTTTTACCTATTCATTATCTATGGAAATCATTGGACTTTTAGACGACTTTCTTACATTTTCGAAATCTTCTACATTTTTGAAAATTTTCGGTGATCAATCTAATATTCTTACTGGCTTTTCAAATTTACATGAAACCATGATAATACATCGTTTACCATCTTGTATTTTATGTAAAAGTATAATTTACTCGTTTAGTCATAGTATTTTATGCAGTCTGTGCATGGCTTGTTATTCTTCTACTATTAAGAATTCTAATGTGAACAATGAAATGTTAAATGTACATTCCCCGCATATTGTTAGTCTACCTAATGATATTGATAAAAATCTGAACAGTAATTGCAGTTTGATATGTAATCTAACCTCTGGCAGAATGGATTCCATAGTCAAATCACAAAAATCACCAATTGAGGAATCTCTATCCATTGAACTTGAACATAAGTCAACAAAAAATCGAGCATGTCCATTAATATACAATGTACAATTGAACACATTGAATGAACAAAAACTTTTCAATGATCAATATTCTTCATCAACCGATCAAATGAATTTGAAACAACCATTATCTACTACGGATGAATTAGTATTATTCAACAATGTTACATTGAATGATAAACTAACTACTTTTAATAAAGTTGATAGTAGTAGTATTTCTAATCGTTTGCATAATCATTTGCATATGTTTCTTAATCGATCTACAACTACTACTACTACTACTGATAATGATTACGAACATCTAATGCAGGATGATAATCAAATTGAAACGAATTTACAAACTCCACTTGAAAATTTATCCTTAATAAAACAAAATCAATTGAATACCACCAAGAAAATTAGTGAATTGATGCAAGGACTTCACACATTGAAATCTTTATTGAATAATAATTCAATACCGAATGAAGTGAAACAAAGCTGTGATAGTCGGTCTTTTCATGAACAACATGATGATTTATTGAAACCAGCTCTGAGAAATGATCAAGAATTTATTATTAAGTCACATTGGAATCAAGTTGAAAATAATCTTCACCATATTGATGAATTACCAACATCGTCGTTATCATCAAAAACTTCCACAAGTGTTGTCAATCATCATGAAGATAATCGTGATAATTTATTCATCAAAGATGACAATGTTGTTGAATACAAATTGTGCGAATTAGATAATTCAATGCGAAAGACTATAAATTATTTGTTTAAACGAATAGACGAAATCAATGTAAAGATGAAAATCATTGAAAATCATATCAATGATAGTAAATTAACTGAAAGATTAATGTATACTAAAGACAAAGAATGTTTATCTGATCGTGAAAAACAATCAGATCTTGTTGAACAATTGAATTTATTACAAAAAAGAAATCATGAATGGGAAACAAATGTTAATTCAATGTTCAATAGTTTATACATGATTTTGTTTAAAATTGATGATAGTCATGATCAAACAACACCAATGTTTGATACTACTACTACTACTACTACTACTAGTAGTAGTCCATATTCACCAAAAATATCAGATCCATGTGAGATTATGCCAAATTTCAATTCATTCATTAATGATTTTCATGATCGAATGATGAGGGTGGGGATTGTAGAGAATCAGCTTAATTCATTGAATGTTCGGTTAAATGAATTAACCGAAGAACGTGATAAATTGAATTTGGAAATAATTCAGCTGAAAGCATTAATAATTGATAGTAGACAAGTTAGTCAGAGAGAAAATACGACAGATGATGATGATGATGATGTTGCGGTTACCGACAACGACACTATGATTATGCCCACTGAAATAATCGGAGTAAATCATGCTGTAAGTGGAGATGTTGATGACGCCGACGCCGATGACAATACAGCGAATCAAATCGATTACGAACGAGTTGAACAATCGTTGACTGAGAATTGTCCACTATCATCTGTCAGTGGAAGTGGTAGTGCAGATATTGAAGAGATCATGAGAAAAATTGAAATGTATACGAATCAATTGAATTGTATTCAGATGAAATTGAACGAAGCAGAACAAGAGAAAACGAAACTTCTCAATCAGATGAAGCAGAATGAATTACAACAAATGACACTATTGGTTGAAGATAATGTTAACAATTTAGATTATGCGGAAGAGGAGGCAGTGGAGGCGAAGAAGAAGGAGGAGGAAGGAGATGAAGAACACGAGAAAGTCGACAAGGAGGAGGATATTCACACTTCCGGCCGAATGTCCTCCTATCATGAAGATACCGATGTGAGTAACTTGTGCATATTAATTTGTTGTTATTATATGATTGTTGTCGTCAAATTTTACAAAAATCTATTAATTAATTATCACGTTAAATAGTGTTACTTACTTCCTTAATAATCTACTCATGGTGTGTCTGATTATCAGTTCAAACCCTAATCTTTCTGATTACTCCCGACATGGTGGTCGGGCTTGCCTGTCGTGATGACCCAACCGAGCTATACTGGCTAGAACATATGTTCCTGAAAGTTCTACTATGCCAGGCAGGTCGATTGGAGAACGATGAGACTAAAAGCAGCTACTCAAGGTCTGAGGGCGAAGTCGTACTGCTGACTGTGGCGGAAGAGTGTGACAGCAGTAAGGTGTTTCCCTCAGACAACCAGCATCTGCAGCGATACTGCCTTCTTACAAGGAAGGAAGGGTTAGAAAAGGTCGAGCCTGAAAATGTCACACCTCACCCTACCTCACGGATTTCCGTCTCCTTGTGTAAGGGTGCTCACTAAGGGCCTTTAAGAGAGGAGCTAATACTCCAAAATCCTTTCGTAAAAATGCCGTGCGTGACCGGCCTGAAGCACTTGTCCCTTGGACTCTGCGGTCACGCACTCAGGTCTCTAAGACCAACACTAATCTATCTTCCTTTTCAGGCTGCTCAAGAAACAACCTTCCATGGTGTGGGCAGCCGGAAAGTGATAACCGCCACATACCCGTAACAGCACGCGAGACCAAATTGGTCGAAATCAAATCCTTCCTACACCCACACATACCTCTCTTCTCTCCACAACTACCTCTACTCACATTCCCTTATCTGACTGCACCGCTAATGCAAGCGATGACTGTTTGACTGACTGACTTTTTGATTACTTATTACCTCTACCAGTATGAGATTTGAATTGACAATTGCATCTCACTGAGAATGTGGTATTTCAACTTGAACTGATGTACGTACGTACAAACGTCTACGTTGTTACCGACTGACTGACTGACTGACTGATAAGAGGCTTATTTGAGTTGAAAGTATGACTTAGATGGCTGTTTGAAAATCAGATAATATTCTGTTTGCTTACTTATTGTTTTCAACCAGTTAATATTTTATTGGGATCTTGATATCGTGTTGGCAACTTGAGTCGGTGTCCAACTGAGTTTGATTGTACATTGTTTATAACTGACTGTTGTCATTTAATCGATACATGATAAATAACTTCAGCACAATAAACTTTTGCTTGGTGATTTTTGTTAGAATTTCTCGAAATCTTGTAAGCGAATTGTGTAAGCAGTAATCGGGATAACAATTAGTCTGGTTTGTTCGCTTTTCTTCTGTAAACCAATTAATAACATGATGAATTCCTAGCTGGATATTACCAATAATTCATCTCAAACTCACAGTGAATAAGGCTTAAACAGTTAGACTTGATTATCTTATTTACAAATTGCGTAACATATTCGACATGAATGAATCGGATTTGTGAAGACTGTGTCATTTTAATAGTTGAAATCACGAGCTGATGTAGGCTAAACTACTAGCAGAAACCTGGGAGCATCGGACGGCCATTTCATCCTAGTATGGAAGACCTCAGTAGTGCGCATCCATAACTTCTGAGCACGAGGGTCGAACCCAGAACCTTCGGTCTTACATAAAAACTCTTAACACTTAGACCACAAGGTTGGCATCCAGTTATTTACTAGCGGTATGTTCCAATAGTCTTATGACTGAGGATGGATTTTATTGACTTAACAGATACTACTCATGATACCTTGGTGCCATTGGGAGTGTGATCAATATCGGTAATTGTTCGGGACGTTAGATCCCCATAACTCACCTAGTAAAGGCCCTAATTTTGGATTTTTTATGTTTTTGCGCATAAGTCGCGTTGTTGACCCTCATCTTACAGTTCCCACTCGGAAAATCCTCTATTCTCATTGGTTGATGGGTTATTTTAGTACGCTATTTTGTGTCTCTCCCAAGAACGTTTCTATCATTGTATAAATAAACTAGATTTGTGTACTTATTTGTAAAGCTCATATTTTTTGAATGCTTGTAGAATACACTGTCGACGCCTTATCAAAACTTCTTGATATAGTTAGTTAGCCGGGCCGGAGACTAACGGACTAGAGTAGCTTATCGTATCACTGAGTCATTGCTTCGACCTCTTTACAGAGTAAGGTAAACTCGTGATAGCATTCAAGCATATCAATTGACGAGCATTAGCGGTGCAGTCAGATAAGGGAATGTGAGTAGAGGTAGTTGTGGAGAGAAGAGAGGTATGTGTGGGTGTAGGAAGGATTTGATTTCGACCAATTCGGTCTCTCGTGCTGTTACAGGTATGAGGGCGGTTATCAGTTCCCGGCTGCCCACACCGTCAAAGGTTGTTTCTTGAGGGACCTGAAAAGGAAAATAGATTAGTGTCGGTCTTAGATAACTGGGTGCGTGACCGCAGAGCCAAAGGGACAACTGCTTGAGGCTGGTCACGCACGGCCTTTTTATGAAACGTTTTTTGAGGATTAGCTCCGCTCTTGGAAGACCTTAATGGGCACCCTTACCTCCGGAGACGGAAATCCGTGAGGTTGGGTGAGGTGTGACATTTCTAGGGTCGACCTTTTCTAACCCTTCCTTCTTTGTGCCGATGGCCTGGTGACTGACGAAATCTCAGCTCGAATACAGAAGGCTCGATTGGCTTTCGCAAACCTGCGTCACTTATGGCGAAGGCGAGATATCCGTTTGCTGACTAAAGGACGAATGTACTGTGCAGTGGTTCGCTCCGTTTTACTTTATGGCTTTGAAACATGGCCAATGAGAGTAGAAGATATTCGTAGGTTACTAGTATTCGATCATAGGTGTCTTCGAAGCATTGCTCGTATATCGTGGGACACCCGAGTGTGCAACGCTGTTATTAGGAATCGGGTGCTAGGTAAGAATGGCAGATCAATAGATGAAGTAATGAAACTTCATTAGTTGAGGTGGTTGGGACATGTGTTGCGTATGCCCAACGACCGACTACCTTGTCGAGCTTTGTTTTGTAGTGTAGGAATAGGTTGAAAGAAAGTTAGGGGCGGCCAGATGGAAACATGGCAGAAATCCATGAAGTCATTGACGAGTGGACTTAGCCATGTCGGTAATTGTCGACTACCTGGTTGGGTCCGCAAGATGATAATAGAGACCTTGAGTGACATTGCTCAAAATCGTTCGTAATGGCGCCGGTGCATTTATTCTTCGTGTTCTCTCAAATCCTAATCTTCTGGATTCTTCAACACCTCTAGTTGTGACTTTCTAAACGTTTCTCATTGAATCATACTTCGTGAATAATATCTTCTAATTCTAACCTCTCCGATTACTCCTAATACCTTTACAACCTCTTCTACTATTGGATTTGAATTGACAATTACATCTCTGTGTACTAATGTGGTATGGCAACATGAGCTGATGTACTTACGCACGTACGAAGTTCTACGTTGCATCTGACTGACTGACTGACTGACTGATTGACGAGCATATCGGTAATCCATAACCTAATCTGTTTTATTAACTCAGACAATTCTCTAGTAGTAATTTACTCTCCGAGTTATTATGTCATAGTAAACAGTTAATTAAAAGCTTTCTTCGTACTTCTCTTTACTGTCGTTTTTTTATTTCAGTGGTATGAACAACATTTGTATACACTAATTCAAAATGCATTGAACAGATTAAATGAAGTGAATCAATATTTTCTTCAGTCAAAACAATCTCCTCAATTATCTGACTCTAGACAAGATGAATTAGTTGACTGTTTGACCAAATTGTTAACTATTATTAATCCAATAAACAGCCACAACAACCACAGTACCATACTTCAACAACAAACAGATAAGAATCATATCCAAATAATTCCATCGCCATTAGTGGAAAAACATACAGGAAACACCGCAAACTTGACGAATACAACAACAGCAGCGACTACTACTACTACTAGAGTTACTGAGCTTATTCAAACACTTTCCACTTCTACCGTCACGAACACCACCTCCTCTGCCAGTACCGCCGCCACTACCAACACTGCATGTAATCGAAAGTTAGCAACCAGTTTCATTGATCTAAAACATGTAGAAAAAGTGCCAATCAGTAGTAGTGATTCAGTGAATCCTGTTGAATATTTATGGAATTCTCATGAATTATATAAATTAGCTAAATATCTTTTAAATCAATATCATATTGTCTTGTCAGAAGTAAGTAAAATGAATGTATAATATGTGTATAGATTTGAAAACATTCTTGTTGAAACAGTGTACGATAAAATAGTTTACCTTGTTTTATAAATATGTATAGACGAGCGATATTTAGTGATGTAGGAGAGTAGGTTGGAAGTAAGCTAAGGGCGGCAAAACCAAAACATGGCACAAATCCATGAAGTCACTGACAACTACTGGACTGAGTCATGTTGGTAAGTATAGACTACAAGGTTGTGGTCCGCGAGATGATAGCAATCGATGGTTAGAGACCTTGAATGACATGGCTGAAAGTCGTTTGCAATGGCGCACGTGCATCCACTCTTTGTGTTCCCCCAAATTCTAATCTTCTAAATTCTTCATCACCTTTATCTTTCTCTTTCTAAAGTTATCTCACTGTATCTTCTCCATTACCGCTAATACTTCTACTACTTCTACTACTATGGGATTTGAATTGACAATGGTGTCTGTTTTCTACTGTGGTGAGGCAACTTGAACTGACGTACGTACGTACGTACGAAGTTCTAAGTTGTAACTGACTCACTGTCTGACTGACTGATGGAGCTGTTTGTGCCTCTTCTCAGTCAAATAGGATGATGCTCTCGTATTCTTTGTAATAAAGTTCGCATCAATTGACCGACATACCACCTAGCTCACTCCCTATGAACATGACTAACCGCACATGGAATTAGTCAAATGAGTTTCGTTTATCTTTTAGATTATTTTCATTACGGGGTTGTGAAGATTGTTAAGTTACACATTTTTGAAACCATGAATCAAACAATGTTAGATCACCATTAGAAACCTGGAAGCACTGAAAGACGACCGTTCCGTCCTGGCATGGGACTCCTCAGCAGTGCGCGTCCACGACTCCTGCACCTCGCAGCATTCGAACCCAGGACCTTCGGTATTGCGCGCGAACGCCCTAACCGTTAGACCACTGAAATTATGAACTGATCAATGTTAGACCTGGCGTACTTACAACTAAATAACAACTGTCCAGTGTTTTCAGATTTTATCAGTACAAACCCAATAATCTTCACAACCACCACATTATTTAGATTGCATTGTTGAACATTTCAATTATTAACAGTTTGTTTGTTTTGCTAGTTTTTCTTCAATTTTTAAAAAAAATATTAATTCATCTGTTATACTTTTTCACATTTTAAGTTGGAGCTACAATCTAATACCGACTGGTGTTTAAGGCAACGTTTGTCAAATGCCAATAATCAATTGAGTCGATTAACAAATTTGTTAAGTAAAAGTAGTCGACAAGGCTTATCATCGATTGAAAAAGGTTTAAGTTTGGGAATAGATAAAAATTCATTATATTCAGGTAAATTTTTAAAATATGTGATTGATTATTACTCTTTACTTTATCATAATTCATCTGTTTTTTTCACGAAAAAAATGTTATTTACTTACTAAAATCACTGATATGTAATTTTTGTATGATTCCGAATAACTAATAGAGTGTGTATAGTCGCTTGTGATCTGATTCCAATTTAGACGAATGATCGAGTATGTGGTTAAATGAATCTTCCCCTTACTTTCCGTAAATCATACTTAGACAAGCCCTGTTAGTGTGACAAGATAAATACGGATTCAGCTGAATAAATTTATTTCAAGTAATCGTTCATACAAACAGAATAAGAAGCATAAAAGCAAAGTAAAGCGAAGCGAAGTGGCGAAGACGTGTGAGCCTACTCAATTTGTAGTCAGATTAAAATAGGCTAGACATTTAGTGAGCAAAGTAGGCCACGCACACATGCAGTCAAGTAAAAGCAACCAAGGTTATATGAGCAAATAGTTGACAAGGTCGGAAGACGTGGGAATAGTAACTTCGACAGAAAATGTTAATTGGTTCCTCCAAAAGCCAGGACTAGTTCTGTGAACTCGATATATTAGTCGAAACACTACAAACTGGAATTCTGAGTTTAATTTTTCAAATTGGGATCACTAGGTATTTTATCACGAACTGACATCATTAGCTATCATTCAAACCTTAATCGTTATACTGTTCACAAACTTATAGTTGAGATTTAGAGTCATAGTTGGAAAAAGAAAGGATATTATTTGTGCTTCAATAAACTATTCTTGACAATGTATGGAATCACCGCAAGTACTTTGTACTTCGGCAGCCATTATGTTTGGTAATTTAGCTCAAGCAGCATCTTGAATTTGCCTTTGGCTTTTACGATATAAATTTTTATCGATCTCAAGCATTTGAGAGGTACTGCTCATGTTACAAATGATACTCATTTGTCAACAGTTTAATTGTGTGAGGACAGATTAGAAGCCAGTTTGAAAAAAACCCCAAGAAAAAGCACTGAAAATGTTCACAGAATCTTAGTAAACACATTTGTAATTGACATATGTCTAGAAACAATGCCAAAAGTTAATTATCTATCCACTGGGACCACCGAGTAAGCATCGCCTTGTTTAGCAATAAGGTACTTGGTAAGAATAACAAAAAAAACTGATGAAGTTGTGAATCTCCATCAGTTGAAGTGGTTGGGACATGTGTTGCGTATCCTCAACCACTTCGACGAGCGATGCTGTCTGATGTAGGGAGAGGCTAGAAGATAGCTAGAGTCGGTCAAACCAAAACATGGCACTATTAACAGTCAGACTGATCCATGTTAACAGGTATATAAACTACGTGGTTACAGTTCGTGGTATTATCGTAACTGGCGGTTAGAGATTTTGAATGACGCGGTTCAAAATTGTTGTTAATGGCACAGGCGGATCTATTATTTGTCTTGACTTGAGATTCTAAATTTATTGGTGTATAGTAACGTGAAATGATGTGTATCAATCAGCACATGCCTATCAAGTTACGCATTGCAACTAAGTGACTGATTAATGTCATCATATCAATGATGACAAATGTACAGCCATTTCGTTCTGGTATGGAACTTATCAGTAGTGCACATTCACGACTCCTGCTACTCGCAGGATTCGAACCCAAGGACCTTGCACGCGAACGCTTAACGTTTGATGAGTCCCTTTACCAAGACGAAACGGCCGTCATCCAGTGCTCCTAGGTTTTGGAAACAGTGGTCTAACAATGAGTCATTTATGATTTCAAGGTTAAACTACCATCTCCACAGAATACTCTAATACCTGATCAAAAATTCTATATCCACCTTTTAAAAAAATATCTATCTATCTAACTACATTTCTCCTTGTCAGCTGAACACAATGATGGAATACGTCAAAAGTCACTTGAAACAATTTATCCGCCGAGTAATAATTTACATGAAAAGCCTACAACTACTACTACTGCTACTACTACTACTACTAACAATCGACGTGTAAATTTCATTCTTCCTCCGGATGATGAACATTCTTCGGTAAGTGTGTGTGTGTGTCACGAAAACAAATTACACGTGATCATCTATCTGTCTCGTATTTTGTGTACCGAATTCGACTACTGATTGCATTAACTTTTAAACTGTACAGTACTTGAATTACTATTCAGTTTTATTTGTTAAAAATCGTAGTTAGTCGCTAGTAAAATGAAGTGATGTGGAATAATTTTTTTTTTTAAAAAAAAAAGAATTAAATTGTTTCGGTCAGTCAGTCAGATGCAACGTGGAACTTTGTACGTAAGTACATCAGTTCATGTTGCCATACCTTATCAGCACAGAGATATAATTGTCAATTGAAATCCAATAGTAGAAGAGGTAGTAAAGGTATTAGAAGTAATCGGAGAGGTTAGTAAATGGCTAGTCAAGAGTGCTCTAAGATGTGAACAGAATTATTGGGAATTCTAATAAACCTATTAAGTTAGGTGAGGTGTCAACTTTTTCTAACCCCTCCCTACTGTAGAGATAAGGCAGCATCGTGCTGCAGATGCTGGTTGTCCGAGAAAAACACCGCATTGCTGCCACACCCTTCTACAGTCAACAGTACGACCTCGCCCTCAGACCTTGAGTTACTGCTTTTAGTCTCACCGTTCCCCAATCGACACACTTCGTATGGTAGAACTCGCAGGAACATGTGTTCCAGACAATATAGCTTGGTTGGGTCATCACGACAGGCAAACCCGACCACCACATCAAGGTCGTAGCTACGGTCGGGAATGGTGTGGACTGATTCTGCAAAAAGGAAGACCCAACTTGGAGTGATATCATGATGTTATAAATTGTTAACTAAAATCCGATGTCGAGAAGTAGTGTAGTGAAGGAGAACACAGGTGAGGGCAACCGAATTTTATTTAACGAAAATTACAGAGTTACTCAGTAAAATAGGAAAACCATATCGTAAACGGTTAATTTGCAAATCTTCAATCAATCATCAATCCATTGTCTGACATTTCACTTATTCATGCGTTTCATACAAATTCCATTGTGTTCTAACTCTTCCTTTCTTGATCTTCCCCCATTTTCTGCTGCCAGACATTACGTTGACACTCACGTCATATACTACTTATAAGTAGCGCGCACCGCAGTAGTTTTATGTTAGTCAATTGGCTTGAGTGAAAGATGCTAAATTCAGAAGATAATTGTCTGCTTGTGTATTATGTCTATTGAGAACAGAATACGCGAGAATGTTCTAATCACGGCTAATTATAATAGTTGAAAGAATGACTGACTGAATATACTGCTTTTGTACGCAAAAGTTAGGCTTCAACTGATGTTTCGCAATAGCCTCTCTTATACACATGAGGTTTTATCGTTTGCATTTCTTTTTCAGCTGACTCTTCTGACTGAATGTATGATTTCGTATGAGGAGGCTTCTAATAAATAAAGCGTGTAGTAGGAGGGAGTTAACATGATGTTACGAAATACAAATTAGTCAAAACTGACAGAGTTTTTGTCATGTATGTCTTTGAATCTTCCAATTGTTAAGAAGTGAATATCAAAATTTGGGTTTGGCAAGTACATCGAGTTGATGAGTCCCGAACGGAACAAAACACGCATCCTGAATTCCACTACTAGTTACTGTCGATCTATGCTTATAGAGTTTACTTCCTTAGTATTCTCCAATACTGAAAATTCTCTCTGATCATAGTACACTATCTGGAATGACGTGATGCGTAATACAAACTGTCTTTACTTACAACTGATTGACCACTGAGTAGTGACCACTGACCTGTATGTCAATACCTTTTTGGTGCTGATCCAATTCTACTAACTAAGTAGCAATTCAACCACCAATTTAAATGACTTGACATCTTGTGCACTGTGTTGATAAGTAGTCAACAAGAACACTACCTGAACGAGGTTTCGTGCTAGTTGGCACTCATCAACAAGATTAGATCAACACTAATAAGAGAAACGTACATGACATTGGTTACTCATTCACTTCCAAGTGAATGATCAACTGTAAATGCATATCACTCTTATAAGATATCACTCGCGAGCCGAATAACTCACTGACAGCGTTTATAGTCGTGAAGCCGAGTAACATGAGACGAAATGACCTAGAGAGCATCAGTTCCCTGAAGATGACAGTCACTTGTAGCTGATAAGTGGTAAGGTATCCTGTCGTTTAGCTCCAACCAACAACGTGGACATTAGTTTCCTATCAATTTCCTCAAATGTATAAAAACAGAACTCTATTGTGAGTGATTTAGTTTGAACTTGAAATGTTTGTTCTCAACCGTATGTCATCATTAATGATTTGTGTGCGAGATCAGATCTTACATTGGTTGTTTGAACCTTACCATATATGTTGAAGACTGATCACTCTTTTTCGGTCTGTATACATCATATACAGATTGCCTCACTATTATTTATTGTTAGGTCACAAGCATTATTAGCATAAATGGATAGTGAGTAGTAGCGGTGGAATGTAGGTTGCACGTTCTGTCCTATTCCAGGCTCATCAACTGGATGTAACTTCCATATCCCAGAGTGAACATCAACTCTGGGAGTCGACAGACAGGCAGATAGACACAACACAGGACTTCGCACGTACGTACGTACATCAGTTCAGGTTGCCATACCACATCAGCACACAGAGACGCAACTGTCAGTTCAAATCCAACAGTGATAGCAATCATAGAAGTATTAACAGTAATGGAGAAGATTAGTAGGGAGCGAAGATATGATTCGAAAAGTATAATTCAGTAAGATAAATTTAGAAGGAGAAAGGTAGAGATTATGAGGAATGCAGAAGCTTAGAATTTCATAGAACATAAAGAGTGAATGCACCTGAGCCATGTCATTCAAGGTCTCTAACCATCAGTGACTATCGTCTCGCTGATCCCAACCAGGTAACCAGCCTACATCTACCAACATGACTCAGTCCAGTTATCAGTAACTTCATGGATTTCTGCCATGTTGAAGCCAGTACCGTTCGGTTTTTTTATCATAAGTTAAACAAACTTAACAGTGATTTCTCTCTCTCTCTCTCTCTCTAATTGATTTCCTTCCATGTAGGTTAAACTTGATGATTGTACAACAACCGTTCAAACAATGCGTAATAAGCCAATATTGAAATGCAAATCCAACCCTGAAATCGCATCATCATCATCATCATCATTAACATCCAGAATTAGTGATCCTTATTTTTTCATAACTAATGAAATGTTTATTCCAATGAAAGCGATGGTAAGATGATGTGTTGTGGTAAATTTTTAGTTGAATTTCTAGTGAACTAAACTACTACTTATAAGAGTTCTTTAGTCTGTTGTTGGGAATTATTAAATAACATTGTACACATTATTTCTCAGAGTTAGTTTAAAGACTCATAGGATTTGCAATCACTGTGTCCGGATGAGAAGACTGAGGCAGGCAAGGAAGATTGTATTGTGCAAATTTACACTCTTAGTCAATTAAAAACGAAAACACCATCTTTGAGTCGTGACTTCCAACGCTCCATCCTTCTTCCATTCCTGTTGGTACTCCATTTACTTCTTGCTTTTGCTCCATTTGCTTTCCGTTTTCCTCTTCTGACCGTGCGACTTCTTCTTTCACGCCTCTTCTAATACTACTTATATCGTTCGTATAAGTAGCACACACCACACGGATACGCACATTGAAGCAGGTAGTTTCACTAGTCAGCCTCTCCTTGACCCGTTGACCTTCAGGTCTAATCCTTAAGGGAGAAGTCAAGCAATGTCAGGTTATAAACTCCCATGGTAGTAGGTGATTAACAATCGGTCCATACGCCACTTGTTCCCTTCGGCATCCTGGGGCTGGTGTTTGATACTTTGAAGAAACTTAATTGCTTGGTTGAATTTATACGATAGTTTAACATCTGTTTAATAATGATTGTTATCTGTGATCTTAAATGACCCTAAATGATGTGTCTGCAATACTGACGATAGTGACATAAGATATAAATTTATTGATTTTCTATCATTCTGTACATTTTTTTAAACTTTTACTATTCATAAATTTTATACATTGACCGTACCACAAATCATTCATTTTTTTCTATTGTTGAGATTATTCTGACCTCCACTGGATCTCAACTTGGTAATGCTCTCTATCATTGCGTCCCAACTTAGGAGGAATTATTAAGAATGTCTCACTTTTCAACTTTGATTAAAAATACTGAAAGGTGTTCTGTTCTGCTGGTGGACGAGAACACAGGTGGGGCAACCGAATTGTATTTAACGAAAATTACAAAGTTACTCAGTAAAATTGGAAAACCATAACGTAAATCGTTAATTTGCAAAATATCAGTTCATCATATCGAACTGGACTGTTCCTGTTGCAAAACATCAATCAATTGTCACTCACTATTCATACAAATTCCATTGTTTTCTAACTCTTCCCTTCTTGATCTTCCCCCATCTTCTGCTGCCAGACATTACGTTGACATTCACGTCATATACTACTTATAAGTAGCTCGAACCACAGCACCACACTCGTCCCCCCTTTTAATAAGCTGTCGTCACTTTCAAAACAGGGACCCTCGTCAGTTAATATCACCCTCCGTATTCCGTGATGCGCTACAATATGCCGGATTACCACCTCGGTCATTGTTCTTGCCCGCTGGTCTGGAATGGGTACGGCATCTATCCAACGTGTAGCGTTTACTAGTTCCCGCTGCCTGTGACACGGCAGCAGGCACACTCTTGATAAATTGCGACACCAACAACTGTGCCCCCGACTCCCCATCCATACTCGGCAGAGCACGGCGCAGCAACATCGTGAGCTCCACAGCCAGCACCAACTATTACGGGTTCACCTTAGTCGAATAACGAGATTAGAACAATGAACCAGCGTCCAGGTAGGCTACTGTGATCCCTTGACCCAGTTGTACCAGCAAGAAATCTTGATATAGTGTAGAAAGTGTATTCTACAAACATCCAGCCAGCACACAAATCGCGTTTATTTATAGGCCATAGAGACATCCTTGAGACAGTCACAAAAATTGCACACTAAAATAACACAGTAACTAATCACAGCCAAGGAATTTCGTGGTGGCAAATGTGATCTCAAGGTCAGCCGATCGGTCCATGAAATAAATCCAACATAAAGATATTTATCAAGCGCGAGTTCTGGGGGATCTAACATCCCCCAACATGTTCATCATTAAGAAAGAAATAATTAATTATTGGTCTTTTCAATAGAATCAATCTACTTTGATTGAATCATAAAATGAATAATTCACTTGATAATATTTAGTCGTTCATCAATGAACTAACTTGATTCTATTGATTTTTTTCAAAAATTTACGTATTATAATTTTTAAAATACTTGGTTTATGTGTAGTAGTCGTTGTGTTGTTTGATTTCGATTGATGATACATTCTTCAATAATCAACTTTTATGCATGAATGTTTTTTCTATTTTTTTACAGCGATCTACGTCGACACAAACAATGACAGAGAAGAAATTATCTTGTCTATCACGAAAAACTTTTGGTTGTGGACCAATTTTAAAACGTTTATCATGTCATTGTCATTCACGTAAACGTTATTAATCAATCGCCTAGTAGTAGTGTGGTGTGAGCTACTTATAAGTAGTAGTATATGACGTGAGTGTCAACGTAATGTCTGGCAGCAGAAGATGGGGGATAGATCAAGAAAGGAAGAGTTAGAACACAATGGAATTTGTATGAAATAGCATGAATAGTGACAATGGATTGATGTTTTGCAACAGGAACAGTCCAGTTCGATATGATGAACTGTTATTTTGCAAATTAACAATTTACGATATGGTTTTCCGATTTTACTGAGTAACTTTGTAATTTTCGTTATTTACGATTAGGTTGCCCTACCTGTGTTCTCCTTTCACTACAGTAGTAGTAATATCATACTATCCAGAAAATTCACCGTGACGACGACGACCAGTGAGTGACAAGAACACAGTAGAAACAACAAGGCATTCACTGACATCATTTACTTCTCTTGCATTGACTGACAAGTGTGGATTCTCATTACAATGATGGTGAAGATTGTAGTAGTCGTGTGGTGGTCAATCATGTGTTGCGCCTCGAAGAAGAAGCACAAAGTTGGTTTCACGTCTCTATTAGAAATGTTAAAATCAAGATGTTCTTAGTGTTCTTAGCGCTACATCAGCAACGAAAATCAACGCAGTGCTCTGAATGAATTATTGTACTTTCTTTTTTCTACATCAACAGTTGAAGAGTAGTTGTTTATCTCTCTTCAATATGTGCATTTTTTTTCATCTGAATGCATTCAGCATCAACATCACATCACCCTCGGTGTTATCTAACTGACAATTCAATGTTCATTAACATCATCAATTCGATATGATAAGCACAGATTCTAAATAAGAAGTGATGTGTTGTTACAATTAACAATCGTCTATTTTATCTTTTCATTCGCGAGAGAGAGAGAGATGATAAATGTTACGTGATAATAAATCAATAATGTCTTTCAACATTTTTGACTACTGATTGTTTCAATCAGTAGTCATTTTTGCCATATTGAATTTGTTCATGTATATATATATATATATAAATATGACGTTTATTTCCATTTTTTTCATAAAAAAATGATGCATTTGATTAAATTGTCCTATCTATCATGTTTGTGTTAGCTTATTGTAAAGAATTTTAATTTTATTTTGTGTACAATTCAAACTTCATAGCGCCATTTCAAATTTGTTCAATTATTATTTAACTATGATTGTTTAAATATGTTTGTTTATGTTTGATTTATCTTCTATTTTCATTTTATTTTATTGTACATTTTTGAAAAGTTATTTTTTAATAAAAATTTTCATAATATTTGATTGCTATCTTTTTTAACTTTGAATCAGCGTAGGTACATCAGTTCAAGTTGCCATACCACATAGGCAAAGAGCTATGCTACAATTGTCAATTCAAATCCCATAGTAGTTGTTGGGGATGTTAGATCCCCAAAATTGGCTTGATAAATGCCTTATTTTGGTTTTCACGTTTGCCAACATGGGCTGATCATTTGACCTTGAGATTTCGATTCCCGCCAAGAAAATCCGTGGCTGTGATTGGCTGCCGTGTTTTTTATTAGTGTGCTATTTTCTTAAGTGTCCCAAGGACGTTTCTACGATGTATAAATAAACGAGAGTTGTATGCTCGATTGTATTGTGATTTCTGGTTGTTTGTAGAATATACTTTCTACGCTTACAAAGCCTTCTTACTCTGTTTTGGGGATTCAAGGTAGCCTACCTGGACGCTCGTAATTGTCTCGTTCGCGTTTATCGACTAAGGTTAACTCGTAATAGCCTCAAGCATACTTTGTGACGAACCTAATAGTAGTAAAGGTAGAAAAAGTATTAACAGTAATCGGAGAAGATGACGGTTCGTAGATATGACTCAAGAAGTATAATTCAATGAAATAAATTTAGAAAGAGAAAGATAGAAATGATTAGGAATTCAGATGACTAGAATTATCTTGTTCAATTCATAAAGGAAGTTTCTTATTCTCCGTCTTTTAATTTATATATAATGATGCGAGAATCACATCTGACATCAGATCTTTGGAATGAATGTCACTAAAGCTTATTGTTTAAAATAATGAGTGGTCTGTATCCAGAATCTGAAGATTGAGTTCGAATGGGGCTCGGACCAGAGGATGGTGCAGATGTAGGACGGAAACACATTGAGCCGAGAAACCGGAAGCTACCATAGAAACCAAGTTAAAGACCATACGTATGCCAGACATATTCGGAATTAAAGCGTTGACTGAGTGCATTGAAAAAAGCATGGGTGATCAGACCAGCTTTCTCCCAACACGGCGACGGTCGGAGGCGTGGGCTCAGGATAAGAAAATTTAAGAAAAAGAGGTGTAGCAAGCACATAGTAAGGAGTATAATCCTAAACCCTATACGTTGCTTACTGAAGCTGGTCGCAAAAGCTTGCAGGTAGGCATATTCGGCGACTAGAACGTGAAGAGTTAGTTCCGTATGTACCTCGTGAGCCTGCTTTGCATCCGAAGTCAAGGATGGCGTAGTTTGTCGGTCTGGACGTGAGACTGAAGTCTCATCCGTAGATAGTGCAGATGACACAGGCTTTCAACTGAGATGTGAGAATGAGGTTTCTGAGGTATCTGGCATGTGATATGAAGGAGACATTAGGATCCCGCTAGTAAGTTGGACGGGTCTAGAATTGATTTTCGGTTTATCGGGTAGAGCACTGTCATTGACGTGTGCCGGTTTGAGACTATCAATGCTGACCGAGTCAATCAACTTTGAAGGTCTTTCCACGACGAGATCACGTGAAAATACCCTTCGTAAGGCAGTTGCAAAGGTTTGCGTACCAAATCTACTAGTATGGAAACATACGGACAGGTGTATAACTCTCGAGGAAGAGCGTCCTGTCGATGTTGTACTCGAGTTGACACCGGAGGCAGTGTTTGCATGTATGCAGATAGTCATTGGACGTTATCTGATAAACGTAAAATCGCTGCTTCATGGTGCGCAGAATTCCTCAGGCAGATGCAATGTCATGCCACATAAGCGTTCAGAGACGGAACATTGAATATCTGCCGTTACTGCTCTGTAATCGCCCCATGTTCTCCAGCTACAGCCATCGTTTTTGCGAACCGAATGGAGAGAGGATGCTCAAGTACTCAGACTAGGACAAAGTAATACATATGGCAAGTAAACTGTCAAGCTCACGCTTAGCGAAAAACAAATTGTCCGGTGCCAGTCGACGAGGTTTTTCCATGACGAGGGATCTGTAGGTGACGATGTGGCTTACCACATAATTAATCACCGATAGAATCTCCTCGATGAATCAAACAGCAATACAGCTGTAGGGAATCGATACTGAGTACGGCTATGGAACATCAGCAGGGATGAACGTCCACATATACTGTCATCGATTATTTGAGTTGATTGTTAGCTGTCGTGTACCGTAGGTAGGAATCACTTAGGCCATTCGAAGCGCGTAGTCGAAGCATTGTAGCTTGAGACTTACTGCTACCAGACGATACGACAGAAACTTGAGCACCTGTAGCAACTAAGTACCTAGCGTCAGTGCAAAAATCGTGGACGTAAAATTAACGAGCAACCTGAAGTGATGGGTAGGAGACAGGTCAAAATGCAGTGACCTGCATCTGGGAATCTATTGTATTATAGCTATCCACCATTTTGAAAAGTTGTTGCGAATATAGTGCATATAGGAAGTATCGATATGATTCAAGCAACAACAGCAAAAATTAATAATTGTCACCCACCAACTTGTAGTGTTAGTCGTGATAGACCGTCACCTTAATGATAAATAAACCAATGTTAAAAAATATATTTGCTGGTGATTTAATGATATCGGTAGAATCCAGAAATTGTGCAAGAAAAGAGGGGAGAAAATACGGAAAGGGTGGAGCAAAAATGGCAGCAACACAAACGGAAGTTTGCGCGTTAAGAGTGTTATAAACAAAAAGTACAGTTAAACAATCACTGGTACAATTGGTTATAATAATGAATGTTTCTATTAAATCAATTGCGTTCTCTTCATACAACTGAATTTACTACAGTATATCTACTGGTATTTTTTGGTCACAACAGGTTGTTCAGCTGTTCATGCTATAAGAAGATAGGTCACTGATCAGTCCTCCTATTATCTGCGATAGTATTGGTAGTTATACTACCGATCTGTAACAGACTATATCCCCCCTATCTCCCTCTTTAAAGACTGGAGATAGAGTAGATTGTTTTCATTAATCTGGGAGTTGTTTTGACTCCAGAGAATGTTTGAACAGGTCATATACCGGTGAGTTGAGGTCTTTTGCACATTCGACGTTGGTGAGATTGTAGTGAGCGAGTCCGATACCAGATTAACTATGCTCGTCAATAAATGTTGCGCGCGAGAAATCATAGCAGTGTTTTTGGTACAGTTGAACAAAAGATGTACAATAATGTTTATTTTTCACAAATCGTATTTTCTTCGTAGAAGCGTCCCACTACAATATCCCCATCGTTTGGACCTTTGGAAATACAAGCACCATGGTTCATAGGTTTTAGTCATGAACCGGAACAGATATTTTAGGTTAGCTTGTATTATAACAGATAGTTTTTTCTTGAAGTATCTCCTAGTGTAGTGAGTGAGAACACAGGTGGGGCAACCGAATTGTGTTTAACGAAAATTACAGAGTTTCTAAGTAAAATCGGAAAACCATATCGTAAATCGATCATTTGCAAAAGATCAGTTCATCCTATGGAACTGGACTGTTCCTGTTGCCAAACATCAATCCATTGTCACTATTCATGCGTTTCATACAAATTCCATTGTTTTCTAACTCTTCCTTTCTTGATCTTCCCCCCATATTATGCTACCAGACTTTACGTTGACACTCACGTTATATACTACTTATAAGTAGTTCGCACCACAGCACCACACTAGTACTTTGAACCTCGAATTTGGATCTGTTTCTCAATAGCAATCAAGAACTACGTCGAAATCCTACAGAGTGACCTTCTACTTGTGCCACGCTCAGCTTTTTGCTTCTAACAAGTGTCCAGTGCCTTGCTTAACCCAAGCTCTTCTCTTTTCACGTGTGATATACTTGAGGTGTACTGTATCGGACATCATTCTGGATTATGTCTCTTACTGTTTGTTAGTGATAACCTACTGTTTACCTTCCTCATTTCCATGGCCATGGGGCTGTAGAAGATGCTCTCTCTTGCACGTATAATTTGCCCGAGTGTAGCAAAGGCAGAACCCGTTTTCATTCCTCTTGAGTACTTTGTTTTTGACGTGGGCATATTTGACTAGTGACGAATCATTTGTTAACAACTAATCCAAGTTTGAGAGTTTTTCGATTCTTAGTCTGTCTAGTTGCTTCATATACATCCTCAATCGGCCTAGAACATTTATTGGCTGTGAGAAGTTGCATTTAAAACTAACGGGTGGGATTAGTATCCCGTCACTTCATGTCGACACTCCACTTCCTGTCTTCTGTACCCTGTAGCATCTGAAGTGTCATACCTCTCAAACTCACTTTATCGTCTGTAGTGCCAGGAGATAGCCGTGTTTTATCTAGGATTATGATCTTCGTATCCCTTGATCTCTCCAAGTTTACCACTCAGTACTCTTACAACGACATACAGGTATATGATAGTTTGTCCTATCACCTGGTGCATCTCTGCATAATCCTGTACTGCCAGTTCTTGTCCTTGTTCTATGTAGAAATACCGGCATGTTTTGCATCCAACTGACTACTTAGCAAGCTCTTAATATTTCAGACATTTAGATCGAAGTAGGATTTCCGAACTTCCTAGTTGTAGTAAATAACGAGGAAATCAGCCCCTGACCAAACTCTTCTTTCGAACAACGTTCCTCACTAATGATAATCTTGACCCTATGAATATTTTAACATTTACTCAGGTCATTTCAAATCACTACTGGTTACACTGTAAGCGAATGATCTGTGAAGCTGATCGGACGCCTACCAATTGAACCCATTGCCGCCTACACCAATTGAGTTCTATGAGAAACAGCGTCCCGACAGCCACAAACTAATGGGCCCAGATGACTTATCAAGATGGAGACCCTGCGGCCTAAAAACTGACTAGCAATATTCTTGACTGGGACGACAGTCACTAATCTCCTCAAAACCAGGTCCCGTCCCGTGCGTAAGGACTGCTGAGGTTTGAACCTACCAAGGCTCCCATCATATTTCTAATTATTTGAACACTCATTGACCGACAAGACTGGTTACCGTTGTCGTTTCTGGTGTTGAGCGTATGGATGACTTTGTCTAACTGTACAATGATATCCAAGCCATGCAAACAACACTTAATTAGTTGGCAATCATAACTCGTTATTATGACGTATGATACGCTCCTTCTACTGCTGAGTACTTATTCAAGAATAAAAGTTGCCTGGAGCTACACCCAATCTTTTGTGGTAATTCTTTAGTAGTCGGAATCTCGTGTATCAAGGAAATGTTGTGAGTTATGAGACTACTTCACATATCGTGAGGGCTAAGGGGACCTATGTTATCTCTGGTGCCTACGTGACAGAAATGGTTAGGTTGACAAGGAATTATTGAGAGAAATTTTGTTTATACCTGTCAACCAGTTCCTTTTTAGACATTATCAGCTGTGTTCATTTATTTATGACAAAACATGACTTTACTTAACACCGTACGATTGGAATGGTAATAACCTCTCAGAAAACAGCGATAACTATTCAGGATTATGACATAGATATATTATCAGCGCACTCATTGTAGCACGGAACAAATCAACACTAGAGATGGTAGCTTGAAGTCATTCTAACACCTCAATTGACACTAGTGTTGTGCACGATAATCCAGGTGAGGACATCAACAACATATTACAGAGTTGTTAGGCATATTTACAAAACCTTCCCGTGAATCATCATTTGCAAACTAATCCTTATTTGTTTCAGATTTCAGTGTTCTTTCATTTAAACTGTTCAGACTTCAGTTCACTTTACGTTACCTACCTAAAAATCGCCTTCTGTTCTCTCATTCTTTCCTTCTCGATCTTTTGCTGTCAGACGTTTGATTTCCATTTGATATCATATACTACTTATGTGAACATAAATAGCGAATACCACACTAGTACTAACCCATACAGCGAATGAAAGCACACTGATTTTTTTGCTAGATAAGCAAAACACAATGTGATTTGGTCCACTGGACACTACCAAATACCTAGGACGGTCACGAAAGAACAACAATCAAGCGCACAGAAACCAATCAGTTTAAGTTAGCTCATAAAAAAGATATTGGGTATTGAATACGGTATGGACATTATGCACAGTGGATATAACACCGCGCCAGCCATCTCTTAATGTCTTCTAAGTGCATTAAATATATCAGCTTAAAAGTAATGCTAGGCAGCCAATCGTATTTTTTGTTAGATATTGATATTGAAACAATAACCAATCGATATTTATTAACAACATCACTTCATTGCCATCCAACAAATATATATTACATGACATAACAATCTTCACAACCGCGTAATGCAAATTACCTATGCTCACTAGTGACTAGCTTGGTGAGGAATCTTCTCCGAGTTCTAGTGGGAAGACGTGACCAGTGAAGTTCAACCTGTTCGGGTGTAGACAGTGTCTACTGAAGACTGTGTATGAGGTTGTGCAACTCCGTGGATTTGATCAAGTTAGACATTAACACCGTTAGATACCGGCCCAGCAGTCTAACGGTTAGGGCGTCCGCGCACAATACCGAAGGTCCTGGATTCGAACCATGCGGGGTGCAGGAGTCGTGGATGCGCACTGCTCAGGAGTCCGATACCAGGACGAAACAGCCGTCCAGTGCTCCCAGGTCTCTAATGGTGGTCTAACATTGGTCGATTCACGGTTTCAAAAAATTATATGTTAAGAAGTTAATTCTTTCCAAATGTCAAACTAATCATAACAAAAAATATTTTCGCTGACACTTTTTGCCAATAAAACAAAGTTTTTGTTAATAAGATTTATACAGATTAGTGTGATGTTTTACAATATGAAATCATCAATCAATCATTGTTAGACCATCATTAGAAAGAAACCTGGAATAAGAACTGAAAGAGGTCCGGTTTCGTCCTGTTGTGGGACTCATCAGCAGAGCGTTTGCACAATATGGTTCTTACTGTTTCCTGAGCTTCATTCAGTCAGGCAGATGGAACGTAGAACTTCGTACGTAAGTACATCAGTTCATGTTGCCATACCACATTATTAGCACAGAGATATAATTGTCGATTCAAATCCAATAGTAGAAGAGGTAGTAAAGGTAGTAGAAGTAATCGGAGAGGTTAGTAATTAGAATATATTATTCAAGAAGTATGATTCAGTGAGATAAGTTTAGAAAGTGAAAACTAGAGGTGTTGACGAATCCAGAAGATTACGATTTGAGAGAACACAAAGAATAAATGCACTGGCGCCATTGCAAATTGTTTTGAGCCATGTCATTCAGGGTATCTAACCATCGATTATTATCATCTCGCGGACCCCAACCAGGTAGTCGACAATTATCGAGATGGCTAAGTCCACTCGTCAATGACTTCATGGATTTCTGCCATGTTTTGGTTTGGCCGCCGCTAGCTTTCGTCCAAACTACTCCTCCTATACTACAAAACAAAGCTCGCCGCGGCAGTCGGTGGTTAGGCATACGCAACACATGTCCCAACCACCTCAACTGATGGAGTTTCAGCACCTCATCTATCGATCTGCCATTCTAACCTAACCCCCGTTTCCTAATAATAGCATTGCTCATTCGTGTGTCCCAGTATATACGAGTAATGCTTCGAAGACACCTATGATCGAAAACCAATATAACCTACGAATATGTTCTACTCTGACTGGCGTTTTTTTTGAGTTCAATTTTCTAGTAAATTAGAAAGACAACTGATAATGATAGGATTGGAGAGATCAATTATAAGAAATATAAAGAATAAGTCAACATTTATGTAAAAATTTACTTTATTCAAGATATAAAAAAATAGTGATGTAGTAAAATGTTACGGT